TGAGTGTGCTCTTGGCACGGACGTCCTTGAGGACAGACAGGAGGAGTTCCAGTGTCTTGCTGCTGCTTTGCCCCGTCTCGTGTCCTTGCTAGTTGCCCCTGAGGGAGACCCGGATGCACCAGACATCCCGACCCCGCGCACTTACGCTGAGGCGATGGCGGGTCCCTACTCCTCTCAGTGGCAGACAGCCATGGACGCCGAGATGGCTTCCTGGAAGTCCACACGCACCTACGTCGACGAGGTTCCCCCACCAGGGGCGAACATCGTCAGTGGCATGTGGATTTTCAGGGTGAAGCGGCCGCCGGGTTCTCCGCCTGTCTTCAAGGCGCGTTACGTGGCTCGAGGCTTCAGTCAGCGAGAGGGAGTTGATTTCTTCCAGACCTTCTCCCCCACCCCGAAGATGACTACTCTTCGGGTGCTGCTGCACATAGCCGCTCACCGCGACTACGAGCTTCACTCACTTGACTTCAGCACTGCTTTCTTGCAGGGCAGCCTGCACGAGGAGATCTGGCTGCGCCGCCCACCTGGCTTCACTGGGTCGTTTCCTCCTGGTACCCAGTGGAGGCTTCAGCGGCCGGTCTACGGTCTCCGCCAGGCTCCGCGTGAGTGGCACGACACACTGAGGACTACACTTGCGGCTCTTGGGTTCGCGCCTTCTACAGCTGACCCGTCGCTGTTCCTGCACACCGACACTTCGCTGCCGCCGTTCTACATCCTCGTGTACGTCGACGACTTGGTCTTTGCCACTGCTGACACTGCAGGACTCGCCTACGTGAAGTCGGAGCTGCAGAGGAGACACACGTGCACAGACCTGGGTGAGCTGACAAGCTATCTTGGCTTGCGGATCACCCGGGACAGAGCACGGCGCACCATCACCCTGACTCAGTCACACATGGTGCAGTAGGTTCTCCAGCGCTTCGGCTTCACGTACTCCTCGCCTCAGTCCACTCCTCTGCCTACCGGTCACTCGCTCTCAGCTCTGCCTTCGGATGAGTCCGTAGAGCCGAGTGGCCCGTATCCAGAGCTTGTGGGCTGCCTCATGTACCTGATGACCTGCACTCGACCTGACCTTGCATACCCTCTTAGCATCCTTGCACGCTATGTCGCTCCTGGCCGTCACAGGAAGGAGCACATGGATGCCGCTAAGAGGGTGTTGCGCTACTTGTGCAGTACGTCGGGCATGGGGCTTGTGCTTGGAGGGCGAGACCGAGTTGTGCTCACAGGGCACTCAGACGCTTCTTGGGCAGACGACCAGGCCACTCAGCGGTCGTCTCAGGGTTACACCTTCAGCCTTGGCTCTGGCTCAGTTTCTTGGCGCTCTACACGCTCGTCTTCTGTTCTCGGCTCCAGTTGCGAGGCTGAGATCTACGCTACAGCCATGGCTGCCCAGGAGCTACGCTGGCTGACCTACCTACTGACCGACCTCGGAGAGCCGCCTCGTTCTCCTCCAGTACTGTACGTCGACAACAAGGCTGCCATTGCCTTGTGTGAGGAGCACAGACTGGAGCACAGAACGAAGCACATCGCCCTGAGGTACTTCCTTGCTCGTGAGCTGCAGCAGCGCGGTCAGCTTTGTATTCGCTACGTGGCCACTGAGGCCAACACTGCTGATGTGTTCACCAAGGCACTTCAGCCTCGTGACCATCAGCGCTTCTGCACTCTACTAGGCCTTGTGCCTACTGGACCTCACTTGCTTACCTCTTGACTTTACTTGTACTGTGATCACTATGTATATATATACCTGCATGTTTACTCTTGCTAGGTTGTGATCACTGTATCTCTTGCTCTGTTATAAACCTGCATGTGAACTGGTCTTGTGACCACTAGTCTGTGCTCGGAATTTGTGTGGAATCCTCGAGATCCACCCTGAGCTTGTTTGCCTTGCTTTGCCTTGACTGGTCTTGTGACCCCTAGGTCTCCCCCACTTTGCCTATGGGGGTGTGTCAAACATTATATGTGTTGGTTGCTGTTAGGCTACAGTGGGTTAGACCATATGGGGTACAGATCTCTAGGGTTTACTATTTGTACTGCCTTCCTTGTTAGTTCAGTCATTCCAGTCCGTTCATTCTGACAGCTGCAGCTACGGCTTCGCTGAAAAGAGACTGCCATTCACCATTGATGAAGCGGCGCGCTAAGGAAGCACATGAAGAGGTAACGGGCTGTGTGGAAGCAGCGGCAGATGGCAGGCGCAGCAGTAGACGCGGAAATGCCAAGAGTATGAGGTGTGCAGCGACGTCAGAAGGAAGCTGCGCAAGGCGGCGTAGTGGAATGAGAAGTGCATCGAGAATGAGCAGACGGATGCGGGAGGGGATTCGGCGGAGAATAGGGCCAGGTGAGACTGCCGGGCTGAAGAAGGAGGGCCAATCCCAGGAAGGAATGGCCTCCCAGGTGGCCTGGGGAATTGATGGTCGATCTGCGGTTGCGGGCGCTGAAGTTGTGGCTGATGCGCGGGGAGGTGGGGGGCGAGCAGCTTGCTGTCGTGTGGCGGTGTTGCGCGAGCAGGCTGAAAGGTGACGGGCCAGAGAACCTGAGTTGGCGAAGGAGCGTCGACATGTAGGGCAAGAATTAGGAGGTAACGGGTTATCGGAGGTTGACGAGGGCGGACAGGGGTGTGGGCATGGCTGTGTAGAACTAGGGGTGGGGGAAGGAGGTGGGGGATCTCGAGAAGGTGAAGCAGCAGTTTCATAGAGTGATAGTGGGTGCGAGTCATCAGCAAAGGCTGTGAGACCAGGAGCAGCTGCGGTGGTGGTTGGAGGAGGGACGGAGGCAGGGGAGGGATGGTCACGTGAAGGCGAGGGATTAGGGTGGGAGGTGTGAGGTTGCGATGTAGATGGGGAATTTGGAAGGGTGTCTTTGAGAACCTGCTGGAGAACCTCCTTCTGTTTTTTCGAGACAAGTTTCGGCGCTGACGTCGGTTGAGGTTGCTGGGAGGGAGCAGAAGGTGATTGAGGCTGAGGAGTAGAGGGTGGTGCGAGGTTCAATGGGGCAGTCAAAAGTGTCTCGGCGGGCTGGAGTCGGTCGCGAACGGGCAGGAGGACGAGGAGAAAGGGATTCGGAGTCTTGGGCCCCGCGGCCCCTTTTGCGGCTTGTCATTTGCTCATGTAATGGGCTGGTGGCTGAAGAAATGAGTTTTGAAAATGAGGAAGTATAAAAAGGCAGCCGAAGTTGTATCTCTCAGTTGGTGTAGCACGAGAAGTCTCGGAAATAGAAAGTTGAGGTTGTAGTTGGGGCTAACGCAAGCGAGTATGCGAACATGGCGAGGTGGCGGGAAATTTGGGTGGCGACGCAGGTTACGAAGAGGGGGAGACGCGGAACAGCTGGTCATGCCTCGGTGGGTGAAATTTCATGTTGACGTCGTGCTGTCACTGGCTGTTCGAACCCGAGCTCAAGCCACGCCGGCGCAACTGAATTTGTTGTCCGTGGCTGAAACTAGCGAGACTGCTTAGCGAGTGTACTACCTACCGACGTGAAGTAGCACCTGCACGGTAATGGTGCGATCCTGATTTCGTCCAGATGGTCGTGCAATAGTTTCTCGAAGTTTTTGCCTGAGGAGAAGAAGTCGCGACGCACACGCAGGGGTATAAAAGTAGGTGCTAAGTTCGTAATTTCGCTCCTAAGCGGAGAGTAGTGAGTTTAGCTGCTTTGCTCGAGTGAGCAGCTTGGCGAACTACTAATCAAGAAGCGTTCTAGCGCTTTTTATAGCTGCTGCAGCGAGGTTGAGTGAGAGCGAGGCAAACTACTAATCAAGAAGCGTTCTAGCGCTTTTTATAGCTGCTGCAGCGAGGTTGAGTGAGAGCGAGGCAAACTACTAATCAAGAAGCGTTCTAGCGCTTTTTATAGCTGCTGCAGCGAGGTTGAGTGAGAGCGAGGCAAACTACTAATCAAGAAGCGTTCTAGCGCTTTTTATAGCTGCTGCAGCGAGGTTGAGTGAGAGCGAGGCAAACTACTAATCAAGAAGCGTTCTAGCGCTTTTTATAGCTGCTGCAGCGAGGTTGAGTGAGAGCGAGGCAAACTACTAATCAAGAAGCGTTCTAGCGCTTTTTATAGCTGCTGCAGCGAGGTTGAGTGAGAGCGAGGCAAACTACTAATCAAGAAGCGTTCTAGCGCTTTTTATAGCTGCTGCAGCGAGGTTGAGTGAGAGCGAGGCAAACTACTAATCAAGAAGCGTTCTAGCGCTTTTTATAGCTGCTGCAGCGAGGTTGAGTGAGAGCGAGGCAAACTACTAATCAAGAAGCGTTCTAGCGCTTTTTATAGCTGCTGCAGCGAGGTTGAGTGAGAGCGAGGCAAACTACTAATCAAGAAGCGTTCTAGCGCTTTTTATAGCTGCTGCAGCGAGGTTGAGTGAGAGCGAGGCAAACTACTAATCAAGAAGCGTTCTAGCGCTTTTTATAGCTGCTGCAGCGAGGTTGAGTGAGAGCGAGGCAAACTACTAATCAAGAAGCGTTCTAGCGCTTTTTTATAGCTGCAGCACATAAATACTATAACAAATTTAATATACGTGTAAGACTTGGTCGTTGGTTATGGGGTAACTGTAACTCGCTATGTTTGTAACGGTGCTGTACGTTTCCATTTATGTGACTTCCGGTTGGGGAGAGCTGAAACTTGAGCTGTACAAACACGCCCTGCAGAAGCAAAAGTTCTGCTCGGATCTGGAAGTCAAGCCGCGGAGAGGACTTGGCATGGAACGAATCAATCAAAGCCTAGATTCCAGAATCCTAACTCCTTCGCCTAGTACTTATCTCTTCATGGTCTGTCCCTCTCGTGGATTCAACGTAGAGTCATTCGAACCGTGATTAGTGAATCTTGTAGCCACTTATTTTTCTGGTAGCTGCCGCTTTTCGTTCAGATAAGCGCAGCTGCTTCGCACGTCATCACTTACCATCTTTTGAGTCCAGATTATTGACTGGTTTTTTTTACTTGAGGTGCGGATCGTAGAGGGATTTTCCACAATCTGTTAATCTTTTTCACTACTGCTCGAAGCGATGGAGCTTATAAGGAGGATGTTGCTACCATTCGTTGTGGCCCTGGTTACAATGGCGCGTCTCGCCTCGGCGTATCAAGTGGGAGATTACGTGCCGTTGGCCAGGAAGGGACAGTTTAACAATGTAAGCTCCGTTACCGTGAATTCGACTTATATCGGGGATGCTGTACCCACTTGATCTTTCAAATCGGGCGCATTTCGCCTCTTCGAATCGTGTAACGGGCTCTGTCTGTAACGGAGTTTTTTCCCACAACGCTCTGACTCCGTCAAACGTATTTGGCCAACATTATAATCTTGTGATTCTGTTCAACGTATGCTTTGCGTGGTATCCCTCTCCCGCGCCTCTCCCATTCGTTCGCATCCCCTGCTCCCCCTCTCCTCTCTCCCCTTTCCTCCCGCTTCCCATCCTGTTCCCTCTATTACTTCCCTCCGCCCTTCCCTCCCTCCCTCCCTCCCTCCCTCCCTCCCTCCCTCCCCTTCCCCCCCGTTCCCCGTGCCACGTGTACCGCGCTGATTGGATCCGCAGATGCGGACGCACTGGCACGACGCCATTGGACGGCACTGCCCGCGATTCGGCATCAATCGAGAGGTGGGTGGGTGACAATCGAGCCAGGGGGGGACAGTTGTGAGAGCATTCCGTGCCATCCGCGAGTGAGTGGGTGGGGGACAATGGGGAGTGGGTGAGTGGGTGGGTGGCATGAACCGGAAGGCGGGTGGTTGGCAGTCAGGAGTGAATGAGTTGGTGGGTGGGTGGGTGGTGTAGTGGTTTGAGTGAGTCGCATTAACCGATAGGTGGGTGGGCGGGTGAGGATCAAGTTGGGAGACAGTTGTGAGAGTATGCCCGGACTTGCCATGTTGTGCCCCAACCTATCTGCCCTTTTTCCCGCCTTTTGTGCCCTTCCCCTGCTTGATTTCTTTCGTTCCTGCTCTTTCGCTGCCCTTCTCCCCTTTCCCCACCTTTCCCCAGCGTTTCTCTTCCTTGAACCGTCTATCCCATTTTCCCTGCGCTGCTGCGCATCGCCCCCTTCTTACTTTTCCTTACTAACTCCATTACCTGCGCCAGGTGGCTCTTCCCATTCCGCGCCCTGTGGGATTTGAAATGGCAGAACACTCGTATAAAATGTGAGTCATGTATAAAATGTGAGTCATGTATAAAATGTGAGTCACGTATAAAATGTGAGTCATGTATAAAATGTGAGTCACGTATAAAATGTGAGTCATGTATAAAATGTGAGTCACGTATAAAATGTGAGTCATGTATGAAATTCTCACAGCAACATGTAATTTTAACATGTGAGGATGCTGTTCTGATGCGGTTAGCATGCCCCCTCTGCACTACTTAGCTTTGTGCATACAACACATGAGCTTTGCTTGGTTATTTCTTCAGTCGCACTACGTAGCACTTGAGTTGCTTCCATCTGCTACAGCCACTCCCCCCCTTCCTGTACCCGTCTTTCCACCACCTCTAATCCACGGCTCCCCCACCTCTTATCCCACCGCTCCCCCTTCCTCTACCCCTCCTACACTCCCCTCGCAGGTCTCTGTCGGTGGGCAATGAGAAGTTTGTGACGCCGTGGCTGCTTGTGATTGGACGGAAGAGCCAGAACGTGCCGCTCATTGAAGTCACCCTGGTGAGTGTACAATCCAGGTTACCCTGTGCCCAAGTGGGTACAATCAAGGTTACCCTGGCATTACGCATCATTCCGGTCCAGGGTACGTTTGCTCGTTGCCTGCAACATTTTAGAACTCAATTCTTCAATTCTTCCCACAGTCCCCTCTCAACCCCATCACCCTTTCTCTCTGCCTCTCTTCCTTGTTCCCTTACACTCCTCTTCAACCCCATCTCTCTTTTTCTCTCTTTCTCGATCTGTACAGACCCACTTTGCAGGAGATCTGAGGGGAGTGCAGGCGAAGGTGCACAACTTACCACATGAATGTGAGTAGCGGTGGGGCATGTGAGTATGAGTGGGGCATGCGATGAGAGCTTTTGTCAGTAGTGGTGGGCCATGTGGGTATGAGTGGGCCATGTGGGTATGAGTGGGCCATGTGGGTATGAGTGGGCCATGTGGGTATGAGTGGGCCATGTGGGTATGAGTGGGCCATGTGGGTATGAGTGGGCCATGTGGGTATGAGTGGGCCATGTGGGTATGAGTGGGCCATGTGGGTATGAGTGGGCCATGTGGGTATGAGTGGGCCATGTGGGTATGAGTGGGCCATGTGGGTATGAGTGGGCCATGTGGGTATGAGTGGGCCATGTGGGTATGAGTGGGCCATGTGGGTATGAGTGGGCCATGTGGGTATGAGTGGGCCATGTGGGTATGAGTGGGCCATGTGGGTATGAGTGGGCCATGTGGGTATGAGTGGGCCATGTGGGTATGAGTGGGCCATGTGGGTATGAGTGGGCCATGTGGGTATGAGTGGGCCATGTGGGTATGAGTGGGCCATGTGGGTATGAGTGGGCCATGTGGGTATGAGTGGGCCATGTGGGTATGAGTGGGCCATGTGGGTATGAGTGGGCCATGTGGGTATGAGTGGGCCATGTGGGTATGAGTGGGCCATGTGGGTATGAGTGGGCCATGTGGGTATGAGTGGGCCATGTGGGTATGAGTGGGCCATGTGGGTATGAGTGGGCCATGTGGGTATGAGTGGGCCATGTGGGTATGAGTGGGCCATGTGGGTATGAGTGGGCCATGTGGGTATGAGTGGGCCATGTGGGTATGAGTGGGCCATGTGGGTATGAGTGGGCCATGTGGGTATGAGTGGGCCATGTGGGTATGAGTGGGCCATGTGGGTATGAGTGGGCCATGTGGGTATGAGTGGGCCATGTGGGTATGAGTGGGCCATGTGGGTATGAGTGGGCCATGTGGGTATGAGTGGGCCATGTGGGTATGAGTGGGCCATGTGGGTATGAGTGGGCCATGTGGGTATGAGTGGGCCATGTGGGTATGAGTGGGCCATGTGGGTATGAGTGGGACATGTGGGTATGAGTGGGACATGTGGGTATGAGTGGGCCATGTGGGTATGAGTGGGACATGTGGGTATGAGTGGGCCATGTGGGTATGAGTGGGACATGTGGGTATGAGTGGGCCATGTGGGTATGAGTGGGCCATGTGGGTATGAGTGGGCCATGTGGGTATGAGTGGGCCATGTGGGTATGAGTGGGACATGTGGGTATGAGTGGGATATGTGGGTATGAGTGGGATATGTGGGTATGAGTGGGATATGTGAGTATGAGTGGGGCATGTGAATGATTTTTCCGTCCCTTTCCCTTCCTTCCCTTCCCTTCCTTCCCCTTGCCTTCCCTTCCCTTCCCTTCCCTTCCCTTCCCTTCCCTTCCCTTCCCTTCCCTTCCCTTCCCTTCCCTTCCCTTCCCTTCCCTTCCCTTCCCTTCCCTTCCCTTCCCTTCCGTTTCATGCCCTTCCCCTGCCTTTATATACTCTGCCCTTCCCTGCCCTTCCATGCCATGTCACACACCACCTTCAAACATGGAGCGCCATTGTCTGCTGGCCTTTACCTCCCCTTGCCTACCGTCCCTGCCTTGTTACGCCCTTCACCCTTCCCTTCCCTGCCCTTCCGTGCCTTAGGCCTGTCTTACTAGCCATGATACACCACCTTCAGACCTGGAACACCATCATCAGATGGCCTTTATTTCCTTCCCTGTCTTGATTTCCCCTCCCTTTCCTGCCCTTCTCTGCCCCTCCGTCCTTGGTATTTCCTTCCCTTCCCTTCTATTTTCCTTCCCTACCATGCCATGCCATGCCATGCCATGCCATGCCATGCCTCACAACCGCCAGACCTGGAGCGGCATCGGCAGCTGGCTCTGGAGTTCAGGAACGAGTCGCACTGGCCCAAGCACGTGCTCATGAAATACACGTGGTGAGATGGCATGCGTTGAGGTGTGATGGCGAGATGGGTTGTTGGATGGGATGGGGAGATATGACGGGGAGATGGGATGGGGAGATACACCAAGCATGTGCTCATTCGATACATGTGGTGAGATGTGATGGGTAGGTGGGTGGGACGGTGGAGCATGTATGGTTGTCAGGATCGAGCATGTAATGTGTATGATGGTTTGGTTTGACCACCCTCCCTGCGTCTCACCCTCCCTGCGTCTCACCCTCCCTGCGTCTCACCCTCCCTGCGTCTCACCCTCCCTGCGTCTCACCCTCCCTGCTTCTCACCCTCTCTGCGTCTCACCCTCCCTGCGTCTCACCCTCTCTGCGTCTCACCCTCCCTGCGTCTCACCCTCCCTGCTTCTCACCCTCTCTGCGTCTCACCCTCTCTGCGTCTCACCCTCTCTGCTTCTCACCCTCCCTGCGTCTCACCCTCTCTGCGTCTCACCCTCTCTGCGTCTCACCCTCCCTGCGTCTCACCCTCCCTGCGTCTCACCCTCTCTGCGTCTCACCCTCTCTGCGTCTCACCCTCCCTGCGTCTCACCCTCCCTGCGTCTCACCCTCCCTGCGTCTCACCCTCCCTGCGTCTCACCCTCCCTGTGTCTCACCCTCCCTGCGTCTCACCCTCCCTGCGTCTCACCCTCTCTGCGTCTCACCCTCTCTGCGTCTCACCCTCCCTGCGTCTCACCCTCCCTGCGTCTCACCCTCCCTGCGTCTCACCCTCTCTGCGTCTCACCCTCCCTGCGTCTCACCCTCCCTGCGTCTCACCCTCCCTGCGTCTCACCCTCCCTGCGTCTCACCCTCTCTGCGTCTCACCCTCCCTGCGTCTCACCCTCCCTGCGTCTCACCCTCCCTGCGTCTCACCCTCCCTGCGTCTCACCCTCTCTGCGTCTCACCCTCTCTGCGTCTCACCCTCTCTGCGTCTCACCCTCCCTGCGTCTCACCCTCCCTGCGTCTCACCCTCCCTGCGTCTCACCCTCTCTGCGTCTCACCCTCTCTGCGTCTCACCCTCCCTGCGTCTCACCCTCCCTGCGTCTCACCCTCTCTGCGTCTCACCCTCTCTGTGTCTCACCCTCCCTGCGTCTCACCCTCCCTGCGTCTCACCCTCCCTGCGTCTCACCCTCTCTGCGTCTCACCCTCTCTGCGTCTCACCCTCTCTGCGTCTCACCCTCCCTGCGTCTCACCCTCCCTGCTTCTCACCCTCTCTGCGTCTCACCCTCTCTGCGTCTCACCCTCTTTGCTTCTCACCCTCCCTGCGTCTCACCCTCTCTGCGTCTCACCCTCTCTGCGTCTCACCCTCTCTGCGTCTCACCCTCCCTGCGTCTCACCCTCTCTGCGTCTCACCCTCTCTGCGTCTCACCCTCTCTGCGTCTCACCCTCTCTGCGTCTCACCCTCCCTGCGTCTCACCCTCCCTGCGTCTCACCCTCCCTGCGTCTCACCCTCCCTGCGTCTCACCCTCTCTGCGTCTCACCCTCCCTGCGTCTCACCCTCCCTGCGTCTCACCCTCCCTGCGCCTCACCCTCTCTGCGTCTCACCCTCCCTGCGTCTCACCCTCTCTGCGTCTCACCCTCCCTGCGTCTCACCCTCCCTGCGTCTCACCCTCCCTGCGTCTCACCCTCCCTGCGTCTCACCCTCCCTGCGTCTCACCCTCCCTGCTTCTCACCCTCTCTGCGTCTCACCCTCCCTGCGTCTCACCCTCTCTGCGTCTCACCCTCCCTGCGTCTCACCCTCCCTGCTTCTCACCCTCTCTGCGTCTCACCCTCTCTGCGTCTCACCCTCTCTGCTTCTCACCCTCCCTGCGTCTCACCCTCTCTGCGTCTCACCCTCTCTGCGTCTCACCCTCCCTGCGTCTCACCCTCCCTGCGTCTCACCCTCTCTGCGTCTCACCCTCTCTGCGTCTCACCCTCCCTGCGTCTCACCCTCCCTGCGTCTCACCCTCCCTGCGTCTCACCCTCCCTGCGTCTCACCCTCCCTGTGTCTCACCCTCCCTGCGTCTCACCCTCCCTGCGTCTCACCCTCTCTGCGTCTCACCCTCTCTGCGTCTCACCCTCCCTGCGTCTCACCCTCCCTGCGTCTCACCCTCCCTGCGTCTCACCCTCTCTGCGTCTCACCCTCCCTGCGTCTCACCGTCCCTGCGTCTCACCCTCCCTGCGTCTCACCCTCCCTGCGTCTCACCCTCTCTGCGTCTCACCCTCCCTGCGTCTCACCCTCCCTGCGTCTCACCCTCCCTGCGTCTCACCCTCCCTGCGTCTCACCCTCTCTGCGTCTCACCCTCTCTGCGTCTCACCCTCTCTGCGTCTCACCCTCCCTGCGTCTCACCCTCCCTGCGTCTCACCCTCCCTGCGTCTCACCCTCTCTGCGTCTCACCCTCTCTGCGTCTCACCCTCCCTGCGTCTCACCCTCCCTGCGTCTCACCCTCCCTGCGTCTCACCCTCCCTGCGTCTCACCCTCCCTGCGTCTCACCCTCCCTGCGTCTCACCCTCCCTGCGTCTCACCCTCTCTGCGTCTCACCCTCCCTGCGTCTCACCCTCCCTGCGTCTCACCCTCCCTGCGTCTCACCCTCCCTGCGTCTCACTCTCTCTGCACCACTCGCTCCCCTGCAAACATGCAAAGATTCGTTTGGTGGCTCGAGTATGCAGAGATGGACGTCACAGCTGCACTGTACTCTTGTGCCCTTTTTTTCCTTCCATCTTTCCTGCTCCTCGTCACCCTCTCTATGTTTGCCATTCCTCCCTCTCCCTCTCAGGCTCGAGTATACAGAGATGGACGTCACAGCAGGTCTTCTCGTGCTCTCCGTATTATCGCTGTGTCCTTGCTCTTTCCTGCATCCCCTCTGCCTCTCTCTCTGACATTTCTCTCCCTCCGTCTCAGGCTCGAGTATGCAGAGATAGACGTCACATCAGGTCTCCTCATCCCCTCATCCCCTCATCCCCTCATCCCCTCATCTCCTCATCCCCTCATCCCCTCATTCCCACTGCCTCTCCCGCTCTCCTATCTGTGTGTCTCTTCTCTCTCCCACAGGCTCGAGTATGCAGAGGTGGACGTCACAGCAGGTCTCCTCGTGCTCTTCGCCTCGAGTAAGCATGTTCTTCACGCTAGTTACATCAGAGCTCAGTTTCGATCTTGCTTTTTTTGTACTGGCAACAAAGAGTTTAACTCTACTGTCGTTCTTCTGCTAAAAGATTTTCCTAAGCTGCAGCTCGCCTAGTCTAATGGCTGATCGTGCTCTTCGCCTCAAGTAAGCATGTTCTTCACACTAGTTACATCAGTGCGTTCAACTCACAGTCTCCCATCTTCTCTACCGTGCAGCAGCATTTTCCCTCTGGGCAGTCTTTTGCTCTGCTTTATCCTACTCCTCAGTTGTGTGAATAGAGGCTCGTTTCTCATCTCATCTACCTTGTGGCTTTACGCTTATCCTGATCATCCTTCAGTTGCAGCTTTCCCCTCCGCCCTCCACTCTCTTTAAAGTTTGTGCTCCTACCCTCACTGCCCATCCCTGCAGCCTTCATTCTCACAACCTTTCTTGCTGTTTACATTCTTCAGTCCTCCAAAGACAAGCTCGCAAAGTAAGCCCGATTATCCAACGCTGTACTTTTCAATGCTCATTTATCACGTATTATACATTTCAAGGCTGAACCATCCCACGCCATGTTATCCTCGTAGTTTGACTCTCTAATCAGTGTTTTTGTCGTGCCTGTTCAACATCCGTGCCTCTCATTCCTGATTGGGGCCCGATGATTTGTACTCTTTCTCAATCTCCCCACTTCCTCTACAGGTTCATGTACAGACATTTGCCGGAAAGCGCTGCTTCACTGGCGATTGCTAGGCCATCCCTCACTCGCGTCTCTCCCTCCTTGCCCCCCTTCTCTCCCTCCTTGCCCCCCTTCTCTCCCCAGATTCATGAACGGTCAGATGGCAGAGAACGCTGCTGTGTTGCCACAAGGAGAGGTAGCAAGGTGGATTGAGAGAACTGCATGGATGGTGGCATCAGCTCTCAGGCCTCTTCCTCCCTCCCTGTCCCCTTCTCTACCCAGGTTTATGAACGAGCAGATGGCAGAGGGTGTTGCTGCAGTGCCGGGAGGAGGCGAGGTTGCCAAGGTGGACCGAGAAACTGCATTGCATGATACATTAAATGGGTGGCATCATCGTGCCTCTACCCCTGCCCCTTGTCTCTTTCTCTCCCAGGTTCATGAACGAGCAGATGGCAGAGAGCGCTGCAGCAGTGCCAGGAGGAGGAGAGGTTGCCAAGGTGGACTGATCGGTTCCATGGTGAATTCATTTTCCTCGAAGTGGGATGAGATTGTGATGGCGTGACAAGTCACTTGTCCGTTCACTTTATTACAAAATTCAAGTGTGCTGCGGATTCTTGTTGGGCGCCAGAAATAACATACCACATGGACCAGGGTAACCGTAACCCCCTTTTTGTAGCCTCAAATGCTGAACTCCCCTTGAAGTAGCCTTTCAGCGATATTCAGTGAGTCGTTTTGTTCTAGAACACGCAGTGTGTTATTGCTTCTTGCTCTCACTCTCGGTTCACTGTAGAGATGCGTGGAGCCGTGTGCATGAAGTCACCCTTGTCGATACACCGGGCCGGAGGTTTTGAAAAACCCCTGCTGACGCTACTTTCGGTTCAAATCAGCTCCTGTCGTGCCTCATGCCCGTGATTTCAAGAACCTTGTGCTGGGTTTTGGACCGGCACTTCTAGGATCCTTCCCTTCAGGCCGCCTCTGCCGTATAAGTAGCTAGCCAGGATTCCATAGCGCAGGCTTTATCCGTAGCTCTGTACATGCATAGTTTCGCGTTTGGCATTGCGGATTTATAGTACCAGTAATTGTTGCTGCAGTTTTTTCGTGGCTGCGTGACAGCGTCTCCTTGGACATTTTTTTAAAATATCTTTTGCTTCGGCTCAGAAATCAACCTTGTTTGGTTGGCGGCGTCTTGCTGATCATTTCTGGAGATTTTCCAAAACCGCCAACGAATCGGGAGTAGCTGAGTGGTCGTCATTCGGTCTTGCCGAAGCTTCGGAGCGATTCGGGAGCGAACCGCCTGCGAACTGCCTGCAAGTCGGGAGCGAAGCGAATTGAGAGCGATGCAGTGCAACGCGTGTAACGCGTCGTTCGACGATGGACCGATGCGTAACGCGCACTATCGCTCCGACTGGCACCGCTACAACCTCAAGCGAAAGGTGCGTCACGACACTTACCGAAAGCTCTGTTACAATTGCGTGTCGCCAATAAGCGCTCCGCCTGGCACCGCTGTTCCCATCTTGAGGTTTGTCCTCTTCTGCCCTCTCCCTTGGCTCCCCTCTTAATCTTACGTATTAGGTCTTCCCGGGATGGCCGAGCAGTTTGAGAAGAGCAAAGAATCCGGCTTTCCATACACATTTGCACCTTGGGCGATGCGCCTCAAGATTTTCAATTCCCGTTCGTTTCGTTTTCGTTTCTTCTCCCCGCCTCTTCCCGCTTCTCCCCGCCTCTTCCCGCTTCTCCCCGCCTCTTCCCGCTTCTCCCCGCCTCTTCCCGCTTCTCCCCGCCTCTTCCCGCTTCTACCAGGTAGCAGGTCTCCCCGGTGTGACCGAGCAGTGGTTGGAGAAGCGCAAGGAGGCTGTCTTATCTTGGTCATCTCCACTCCTGGACGATACGTCTCACAAATGCGTTCTTCTCTTCTTCTCTCCTCTTCTTCCCGCTTCTACCAGGTAGCAGGTCTCCCCGGTGTGACCGAGCAGTGGTTCGAAAAGCGCAAGGAGGCCGTTGCAGCAGCCGCCGCCGCCGTCTCTGGGGGAAAGCGCGGCGCGGTCGCAGCGGCAACAGCAGCGGCGGCGGCCGCTGCCGCAGCTACAGCCGCTTCCGGGGACATCGCAGCAGGGGGAGACGTGGGCATAGGTGCGGCGGGGGGAGTTCAGCCAGGGGGAGGAGCGCCAGTAGCAGCTGGCGGGTGGTTGATATACGAATGCGTGGTTTGCAGTAAGAAGTACAATAGCGAATCAGCTCATGCGAGTCATTTGCGATCCAAGCTACACGCTTCGAAGGCTGCTGCTGCTGTGGCGGCCGCGCGAGCAGGTGCAACCGGGGCAGGTATTATCGGGGCCGGGGCTCAGGGTTCAGGGGTTTTGGACCCCTCCAGGCCTGTGATTCGGAGAGTCGAGGCAAAGCCGGTTGTGGTGGCAGCGAGAGGGACGGGCGCGGGGGATAAAGATAAAGGGAAGGGTTTGAAGGAAGAAGAGGAGGAGGATGAGGAGGAGGAAGAGGAGTGGGAAGAGGTGGATGAAGAGGAAGCTGCTGCTTTGCTGGCGGAAGGAGGAGAGGGAGTAGAGGAGGAGGGAGGAGAGGAGGGAGAGGAGGGAGAGGAGGGAGAGGAGGGAGAGGAGGGAAGCAAAGAGGGGAAAGGGAAGGAAGGGGAGGAGGAGGAGGCGAAGAGCAAAGGAGAGGGAGAGGAGGGAGGGGAGTGGGACGTATCCCAGTGCTTTTTCTGCGACAAGAAAAACAAGGGTGGGGTGGACGAGTGTGTAGAGCACATGCACAGGCACCACGGGTTCTTCATCCCCGATATAGAGTTCCTCACGGACCTGCAAGGGATGCTACAGTACCTGGCGGCGAAAGTGACCCAGGGGCGCATGTGCCTGTGGTGTGACGATAGAAGCAAGCAGTTCAGCTCGGTAGAGGCTGTGAGGGCGCATATGGAGGCGAAGAGTCATGCCAAGCTGCGGTATGGAGATGGGTCTGGCGTGGCGGAGGAAGAGCTTGAAGATTTTTACGACTTCAGCACGAGGTGAGTCACTTGGGCAGGCTTCAGGCTTCGAGGACCAGGGTTTAGTGGTGAGGGCGCATATGGAGGCAAAGAGCCATGCAAAGCTGCAGTACGGGGACGGGTCTGGGGTGGCGGAGGAGGAGCTTGAGGTTTTCTACGCCTGCAGCACCAGGTAGGGTTACGGGTCAAGGGTTTTGTTTTCGGGTTTTATATCAGAGTGAGAGGGCTTTGGCAGTTCAGCTCGGTAGAGGCTGTGAGAGCGCATATGGAGGCCAAGAGCCATGCGAAACTGCGGTATGGCGATGGTTCAGGCGTGGCGGAGGAAGAGCTTGAAGGTTTCTACGACTTCAGCACCAGGTGCGTTTGAGGGTTTAAGGTTGAAAGGCTTTGGCTGTTCAGCTTGGTAGAGGGGTGAGGGCGCATATGGAGGCGAAGAGCCATGCTAAGATGCGATACGGGGATGGGTCTGGCGTGGCTGAGGAGGAGTTTGAAGTCTTCTATGACTTCAGCAAGAGGTGCGTCATGGGGTGTGAAGGGGTGCAATGTGGTGCATCGATCCGTTCCGGAAAGTGTTGAACAAGCCCTAACGTGAAAATATGAAAAGAAGATGCCTGGAAAATTTTCACTCATGGGACTGCACGTTTTCCCCATTGTTTTTGACACGTTTGAATTTGACCGACCCTACCCAATTTGTACAGCTTCTCCACATATTCCTTCTTTTACTTTTGAGGCACCTATAATATTAGTCCCACGCCTTAATGATTCTCAACGGTGTACATGTTCTTTTACCCGCTCCCTCCCCCATGCTGAGAATTTCCTGTCACATTTTCCCCTCTGCTTTTGTCACCCTCTTCTTGTTCTTCCCGCGTTTTCTCATTCTAACGATTCCTCACGGCCTTCCTCCTTCCTCGCCCTCCACCAGTTACGAGGAGAGCACAAGCCGTGAGCTCATTGTGGCCGACAACTCTCGTCCTCATGTGGCCCTCACCAGCGGGGGAATGGAGCTCATCATTTTCAACGCAGCAGCAGGCAAGGGGAGCAGAGGCGCGGATAAGGGTGCATGTGGTACGAAGCGCGTGATTGGCTCGCGGGATCTTGCGAGATATTATCGCCAAAAACCGAAACCGACGGGAGACAGCAACACTCGCCTCGTGGCATCAGTGCTCGCAAAGTGAGTGTCTGGACGTTTGTCTTTGATGATTTGTGAGCTGGGGTTAACGCATAGCCATTAAATTCGTATCAGAGAGATTCATACTTAACCAAAGAAATTCAATCAAAGGCTGCAGGTATCGAGTCATGGGTATAGCAACCTGGTATCTGGGGTGGCGAATGGCAGAGCAGCAGCAACAGCTGAAGCAGCAATTTTCTCATGCCGTCGATATTACATTCCATCTCTCCATTCCCGCCTTGCAGGTATCGAGCCATGGGGCTGGCAACGCGGCAGCTGGGGTGGCGAACAGCAGAGCAGCAGCAGCAGCTGAAGCAGAGGGATGCAACGGCGAAGGGGCGGGAGAGGTTCGAGCGCTTGCGCACGAGTGTGGGCATGAGCAACAACGTTAACTGGAACCTTCCCAAGAACGTCCCATATTAGACGGGGCCTTCACTCGTTTCTCCAGTTGCTCTTCACACGTTTGCAACTGCAGCAACTGTAAGGAGGGGGCCTGAAGGCACAGCAGTGAAGGGGGGGATGGGGTTGTCAGAGGTTTGAGCGCAGGCGCACCCTAAACAAGTGCTGGAAGCAGAGCAGCAGCTGCTGCTGAAGGATGGCGAGGGAGCACAGCAGACGTAAGGTGTCAGGCGCTTGATTGCATGTGCACCATTATGGGCATTAGCAACAAGGTCGATCAGAACCTTTTTAAGAATGTGCCATGTCAATTGCTGGCTGGCTGGTTGCAGTTTCACGCCTTTCTTCTGGATGAGCTGTGTCATACTAGGTTGTAACTTCTGAGCTAGCCTACAAGGTTTCTTGGTTCATCAATTACCGTATATGTTTTTTTATGTGAACTGAAAGAAAGAGGTCTAATCACAAAGCAGTGCAATACACACATCTATTACTGTAAAATACCATACTACCTGAAGGGAGCTACCTATGCATCACCATAGATGGCACTGCAAAACCACCACTCACGTACATACATCAGACAGATGCCAATGTGATAGTTGCCAGAGGAATCTCATGTTTGGAGCTATTAATGACTATAAAACTGGAGGAGTTGCGTTGGTGAGGCACTACTACATCTTCAGTAGCAAGAACCAAAAAAACAATGAGGATGTGTGTATTGCCAATAGCGTCTGACATCTGCAGTGGCATGGTGAGAGATTTGCTGAACCAATCCCCAAGAGGAGAACTCTTACGACAGCTCGGGTCCATGCCATTAGTCATGATAGATTTGATGTTCCTGGATGGAGTCCCATGAAAGACCAGCTCCACTTTCCCTAACGTTCCAGGGCGAAACAATTGAAAAATCTTTCCTGCAACAACAAAACAAATCAGAATTCACACAAACTAGGCAGATGCAAAGAAAGGCAACGCCCGTTTATGCAACTTCCCCTCCATCCATCCCCTGCCTTTGCAAAAATTAGAAATGTTCATAAAACGCTTACCAAGGACGTGTCTGGCATCACGCAATGAAAGCTCTGCAAGAGTTTTGGCAAATTTGTTAACCAGGGAAGTATCCTTGGTGAAGCTGTGCCTTGTTTTAATCGACTCAAGGGAATGAGTACGCTTGACTGTGTTTTCTATTGCTGCTTTGATGTAAGCGTCAGAAAGATCAGCCAGAACTTTCATCCATATCTGCTCACCATTCACCACAAAGGCGTCATAAAGTTTCAGGACAGACAGGCAAAAGCTGACTGAACTAGTACTTACAAAAACTCCCACAGAAGTGGTGAGCTGTTTCATGTTTTCGATGCCGAACTGCGGAACCATTTGAATGTGTATTCTTCGTCCGTCTTGCGTCACCTCCTCCATGGCCCTCAGAACAATCGTTGACTTGGAAAGAACCACCGTTTTCTCACCATTGGCAGCTGCTTTAAGAATTTTATGGCATGTAATGGAATCAAACGGCTCAAAATTGCCATTCACATAGCGATAAATTCCAGGCAGCATCGTGGCCACGTTTCTCTACACAATTCTAGAATGCGACAGTCAAGTTTCTGTAAAAACGGAAGGAACAAAACCCTTCTACCCAGTAGAGGAGGCTGCACACAATATCCACGAGACGCCATGGCGAGAAGGACTTTGTTTCAAAGCGGTTCTAGCCTAGGAAATGCATTGGAAATGCATTGGCGAGAAATGCATCTTGATTCCCTAAGGTGTTCGCTTCACACCAAGGTTGGGAGGGACGAGGCTCGTAGTTCACAAAACATGAGGGCGCGTTTCATGGGCAGCCCGACAAACGGTACAAAGTTGGCATCATGTCCTGTTCAAGCCAGTGGGGCTCAAGAATCGAAACCGACACTGAAAATTTGAAATTTGTCTGAGGTCGTGTCCGTAGGGATGACATGTCAAACGGGTAGTGTCAATTCGGCGTTTTGACACTCAGCCAACATTGTTGGCAGAGTGTCAAGAATTTGCAGGTTGCCAGCCAATACAAATCGGCAGACACTTTTTGTTTTGGCACATCATACCTACAAACGAGAGAAGATTGTCGAAGCTGCATATCTCACGACCAGGTACTGCCCAATCAGCAAACACCTTCTATCATCTTTCTTTCGATTCGTTCACTGCCTATGAGATCTACAAATAACAAGTTCTCCAACCAATGACATTGTGTCGCTGATGTTCGCACATGCGCTTCGACTTGACACTACAGCTACAGTATTTGACACTCTAGCTCGAAAGCGCTTCGGGTTGACACGCCCTTGTTGACATGTCATCCCCACGGACACGAACCGATCCTTCTGCTTCGTGTTCAAGCTCCTACTGAAGCTCTTATACTTAAAGCCCGAGTCTATAATGGCAAACGTTCAACTTCAAGATTCTTGAACTTGTTTTCGTCAAGAACAGGGTAACCAGGTTCAGAAAGCTGAGCTCTCGCTACCCACCAGGAAGGGAGTTGGTGGGCCAGAAGGTGATTGGCCAAATGCCCCACAGCAAAAACACGGACGAGCCTCGCCAGAAACAAACAAAGGCAAGTATCACTGTTCACACTTTCAGAACTTGAAACTCGACATTACCTTTCTAGACTCGTAGCATAGAAGGCTCCATAGCCCATATTCTCGTCAATAGTCAGCATAGTTGCGCCCATCTGCTTGCCGTATGCTAAGACTTTTGTAGCACATAAAGACGAAACTTCCCGGCGACTTTTTCGCGCATAACACATCCGATCTCGTACATTGCTTGGAAGGCATGACCCTCAGATTGATCGCCACCGTGAGACTTACTCGTCGCCGCTGAAGGGTAACCTAGCCCGCACTCAATGCCGGTCCGCAATCACTCAAGGCCCGCCCTCACTCCCGTCGTCGTCACTCCCGTCGTTCTCTCTCTCCCGTCAAACTCTCTTTCCCATCGCGCTCTCCCTCCCGTCGCGCTCTCACTCCCGTCGCTCTCTCGCTCCCGTCGCGCTCATTCTACCGTCGCTCTCTCACTTCTTTGCGCTCTCACTCCCGTCGCTCTCTCTCTCTCTCCCGCCGCCCTTCACTCCCGTTGCTCTCTCTTTCCGGCGCGCTCTCACTCTCGTCTCTCTCTCGCCCCCGTCGCGCTCATTCTACCCTCGCTCTCTCACTTCTTTGCGCTCTCACTCCCGTCGCTCTCTCACTCCCGCCGCCCTCTCATCTCCCGTCCCTCTCTCACTCCTGTCGCTCTCTTTCCGGCGCGCTCTCACTCTCGTCGCTCTCTCGCTCCCATCGCGCTCATTCTACCGTCGCTCCCTCACTTCTTTGCGCTTGCTCTCCCGTCGCTCTCTCTCTCTCCCGCCGCCCACTCACTCCCGTCGCTCTCACACTCCCGTCACTCTCTCACTCCCGTCGCTCTCTCACTCCCGTCGCTCTCTCACTCCCGTCGCTCTCTCACTCCCGTCGCTCTCTCACTCCCGTCGCTCTCTCACTCCCGTCGCTCTCTCACTCCCGTCGCTCTCTCACTCCCGTCGCTCTCTCACTCCCGTCGCTCTCTCACTCCCGTCGCTCTCTCACTCCCGTCGCTCTCTCACTCCCGTCGCTCTCTCACTTCCCTCGCTCACTCAGTGACTGTCGCTCTCTCACTCCCATCACCCACGCACGTCGCTCGCACATGTCGCTCACACGTGACTCACTAACACATGTCGCTCACACGTGACTCACTAACACATGTCGCTCATATCTGCTCCTCTTACCCTCTTCCCCCTTTGCGCTCCCCCCGGTTCCTCCTCTGCCCATCTTCCCCATCACTCACACACGACACACACGACATGCTCACACATGTTCCCATCTCCCCTCTCCTCCCTTCCCTCTCCGCTCCTCTCCTCACTTCCCTCTCTGTCCCCCTCCTTCCCTTCTCTGTCTTCGCCTCGCCTCCCTTCCCACTCATCCCCTCCCCTTCCTTTCCTTCTCGTCGTCTTTCCTTCCTTCCATCTGTCCATTCTCCGGGAAGAATTGGGAGGGGGACTGAAGAGCCTTCTCTCCCCTCCTGCCTCACTCACTCCCGCCTGTTGCCTACATCAATCCTGTTCATCATTCCAGTCACTTGCTTTCCTCACTGTCCCACTCCTCCCTTCCCTCTCCCCCACCCCCTCCCTCTCCCGCCGCTTCCGTCTACCACTAATGCAACTGGCGTGCATTCCCGTGACGCAGAGTGCAGGTGATGGCCGCGTGTTTGCGTGGCTATGTGGCATTGTGAATGTTGGGGGGAAGGGGGGAAATGGAAGGCGGAAGGGAATGGGAGACGTCGCCCACGTCGCTCCCGTCACTCCCTCCCCTTTGGGGCCGATCCTCTCCGCCTCTCGCCCCTTCCGTCATCGCCTCTCCACTTTCCCTTTACCTTTCCCCCATGTCATTTCATGCGCTTTTCCCATTTACCCTCCCTCCCTTCCTCTATAGTCCGTCCCACTGTGCCTCTCCCTTGTTTCCCTCCTTTTCCGCACGTGTCCTGCCCTCTGTTTCCTCGATCCCCATGCCCTATACCCCATGTCTCTCCCTCCCGTTGCCACATGCGACATTCTCCCTACGCCATGCCCCTATACCATACACCATACCTCATGGCTCATACTCTCTTTGCCTCTTCTCCTCTTCCAATCAATCTCCCTTACTTTGGTTCACCTTTCTTCCTCCCCCGTTCTACCTCGCTCCATTCCTGCCATACCTCCCTCTCTCCGCAGCTCCCGCCCCTCCGATTTCGCCCCTGGTTTGCCCCTCCGTTGCCTTTCTCCCCTTCATCCCTCTTGCTCTCTTCCGACCCTCTGTTGCCCTGTGACCCATGCCCCATGCCTCACACCTCATGACCCATACCCCATATCCTAACTCCCTGCCACTGTGCCCTTCATGGTCAGGTAGGGTTCCCGCCTGCGGCAGCAGCAGCCAACCTCACAGAGGAAGTGGTGGTTCGCTTTGACTGCCTTTCCAACGCTCGAGAGCTCTCACACCCACGACCAGAGGCACACCACACACCTCTGACCCTAAGGTAGTGGCCTCCAACAGTGGGGGTTGCCATAGTGAATGCTGTAGGGGGGAGGTCAAAGTCCCCATCACTCAGGTGCCCATCGAAGCTGCATCGCATAGTCTCTTTCGTTTGCCTTCTCTTCCTTCATTGTGCTTCTCTGAATTGGTCTCACGTCACACTCTTCTACCATCTTTCCACCACCCATTCCACCATACCCACCCTTGCACCCATCCCTCACCCTTCCACTCTGTGCCTTACTTACTCCTTTGCTGTTTCCATCCTTTGTTCACTTTCCCTTTGCTCTCCCTGTCATCTTAGGGACCCTGTCCCTTGCTCACTCATACGTTTGCTGTTTCTGTCCTTTGCCCCATTGTCCCCTGCTCACCTTTCAATCTCTGCCCATACCACCCGTTGACTGTCTACCACTCTCCTGGTTTCCCTCTCTGCCTCTCTGTTGCATTCCTTGTTGTCGTTCCCCTCCCATTTCGTCCTCTGCACGCGATGTCGCCTTTCACCGTATGCTTCCCTGCTGCTCAGCCATCTCACATCTTATTTCCTGATTTGTGTTTGTACAGGTCCGTTATACATCCGTGCTAGTGCTGTGGTGATGTGTTGGCTGGCAGTTTGATAGTACTATAATGACTCGCCATTCAATGTTTTGATCTTGGATGCTTTGTTATAATACAAACTCTGAGTTGAGGAGCAGCTATGCAAATGACCACTACCAAAAAGTGCAACAAAGTTCACAGTTGATCATCCACACGAAGACAGCTACGAAATCTACTGTATTTCCCCATTCTTGTTTGCTACATTGCATGCAACCTTGGCCTGTGGTGCTGGGAGCCTGGGACCTGTACTCTGCATGGTTGGAGACGGGGATGAGTGAGAGTGGGAACAGACTGAGCAGCGGAAGAGAGTGAACAGGAAGAAACAGGGCGAGCAGGCAGGAAGAGAGAGCAGAGAGGAACAGAGCGAGTCGGATGGGAGGGCGATGGAAGGGGGATGGGAGGGCGATGGGAGGGGGATGGGAGGGCGATGGGAGGGGGATGGGAGGGCGATGGGAGGGGGATGGGAGGGGGAAGCGAGGGTGGCGGGAGGGGGATGGGAGGGTGATGGGAGGGGGATGGCCAGGGGATGGGAGGGGGATGGGAGGGGGATGAGAGGGGGAGGTCGGTAGGGGGACGGGAGGGGGATGGGAGGGGGACGGGAGGGGGATTGGAGGGCGATGGGAGGGGGATGGGAGGAAGATGGGAGGGGGATGGGAGGGGGATGGGAGGGGGATGGCCAGGGGATGGGAGGGGGATAGGAGGGGGATGGGAGGGGGATGGGAGGGGGGTGGGAGGGAAGTGGGAGGTATCAAAAGGACTAGGCAAGAATGATGCATTGAATGAAACAGTTGGGTACAAGTAGCAAACCCTAGTTGGGGTTGTACCCCATATTGGCTACCCCACTACAGCCTACCAACATATAACACATTACAATTTAACACACCCCCATAGGCAAAGTGGGGGAGAACAAAGGGTCACAAGACCAGTCCAGCAAAGCAACGCAAGCCCAGGGTGGATCACAACGTCACCACACTCCGAGCACAAGCAAAGGCCACAAGGCCAGTTCACATGCAGTGCTAGATATAGTACAAGACAAGCAACACAGTGATCAAAACCTAGCAAGCAAGCAACAAGATATATATAAAGTACAGTACAAAGAAAGTCAAGCAGTAAGCAAATGAGGGAATGTGGACACAAGGCCTAAAGAAGTACAGTGTCGCTGATGATCACTAGGCGGGAGCGCCTTGGTGAAGATATCAGCAGTGTTGGCCTTCGAGTCCACGTACACAAGCCGAAGCTGACCGCGCTGCTGAAGCTCTCGAGCAAGAAAGTAGCGAAGAGCAATGTGCTTCGTCCTGTGCTCCAGTCTGTGCTCCTGACACAAGGCAAGGGCCGCCTTGTTGTCACCGTACAGAACTGGAGGAGAACTAGGCCGCTCTCCCAAGTCAGTCAGCAGGTAGGTGAGCCAGCGTAACTCCTGTGCAGCTATGGCTGTGGCGTAGATCTCAGCCTCACAACTAGAGCCGAGAACAGAAGAAGAGCGGGTGGACCGCCACGAGACAGAACCAGAGCCAAGGCTGAAGGTGTAACCCTGTGACGACCGCTGCGTAGCCAGGTCGTCCACCCAAGAAGCGTCCGAGTGACCAGTGAGGACAACTCTGTCGCGTCCTCCAAGCACCAGCCCCATGCCTGACGTACTGCACAAGTAACGCAGCACCCTCTTAGCAGCCTCCCAGTGCTCTCGCCTGTGTCTCCCAGGCGCAACGTAACGAGCAAGGATGCTAAGAGGGTACGCGAGGTCAGGTCGCGTGCACGTCATCAGGTACATGAGGCAGCCTACAAGCTCTGGGTACGGGCCACTCGGCTCTACGGACTCGTCCGAAGGTGGAGCTGAGAGCGAGTGGCTGGTAGCCAGAGGTGTGGCCTGTGGTGAGGAGAACTGGAAGCCGAAGCGCTGAAGGACCTGCTGCACCATGTGTGACTGAGTCAGGGTAATGGTGCGGCGTGCTCTGTCCCGGGTGATCTGCAAGCCAAGGTAGCTACGCAGCTCACCCAGGTCAGTGCAGGTGTGTCTCTTCTGCAGCTCCGACTTCACACGAGCGAGTGCCTCAGTGTCAGCAGTAGCAAAGACCAAGTCGTCGACGTACACGAGGATGTAGAACGGCGGCAGCGACGTGTCTGTGCGCAGGAACAGTGACGGGTCAGCAGTGGAAGGAGCAAACCCAAGGGCCGCAAGTGTAGTCCTCAGTGTGTCGTGCCACTCGCGTGGCGCCTGGCGGAGACCGTAGACTGGCCGCCGGAGGCTCCACTGGGTACCAGGAGGAAACGACCCAGTAAAGCCAGGTGGGCGGCGCAGCCAGATCTCCTCGTGTAGGCTGCCCTGCAAGAACGCTGTGCTGAAGTCAAGAGAGTGAAGCTCGTAGTCACGCTGAGCAGCAACGTGCAGTAGAACCCGAAGAGTGGTCATCTTCGGGGTGGGGGAGAAGGTCTGGAAGAAGTCAACCCCCTGACGCTGACTGAAGCCTCTAGCAACGTAACGAGCCTTGAAGACAGGCGGAGAACCTGGCGGCCGCTTCACCCTGAAAATCCACATGCCATCGACGATGTTCGCCCCAGGAGGGGGAACCTCGTCGACGTAGGTGCCTGTGGACTTCCAGGATGCCATCTCTGCGTCCATGGCTGTCTGCCACTGAGAGGAGTAGGGACCCGAGATCGCCTCTGCGTAAGTGCGCGGAGTGGGGATGTCTAGTGCATCCGGGTCTCCCTCAGGGGCAAGCAACGAGGCCACGAGATGAGGTACAGCAGCCGCAAGAGAGTCAAAGTCCTCCTGCCTGTCCTCAAGGACGTCCGTGCCAAGAGCACACTCACCCCCGACGGACGGAGGACAGACAGACTCAGACCCAGCAACAAGACTGGCGGCGTAGTCGAGGCGACAGGCAGCAGCAAAGTCGACAAGCTCAGCGACCAGGGCAGACGCAGCAGAAGACTCAAACGACGGGTCAGTGACAACAGTGGCGAGAAGACGCGTGACAGTAGGGTGGGCAGCACGAACACTGTCAGACTCAGGGTCGGGAACGTCAGGAAGAGAAGACGCAGGTGGAGACGGTAGGGGGACACGCTGTGGACCAGTGGAAGGACGAAGTGCCATAATGTGCGTGCCAGGAACAGGAGGAGGACGCGGACGCGCGACACGACGGCCAGTGGGACCAGTGCGAGCAGTGCGAGCAGCGCGAACAGGCGAGGCAGGACGAGACGTAGGCTCACGACGCTCCGTAAGCGAGTCCGGCTGTGCAGTGTAAGGCACAGGAGCAGGGAGGGGGGAGCCAGGCTGGAGGGGAAGGCCAGTGGAAGACGGGAGGGAAAGAACCTGGCGAAGTACCGTGTCAGGCGGCGGCAAAGCCGACGGCGACGGAGGGGCAAAGAACAGGCGCGACGGCGGAGCTCCGCCAGCACCTCCAGCACCCGGAGCACCAGAAGCACCAGGACCAGCACCCTCCGCCGCAGCACCCCCCGAGTCGGCGACGTCAGCACCAGAGGCCCCAGCAGCGTCAGACCTCCCCTCGCCAGCACCTCCAGAACCAGCAGGACCACCGTGTCCAGTGGAGGGGGATGGAAGGGGGATGGGAGGGGGATGGGAGGGGGATGGGAGGGGGATGGGAGGGGGATGGGAGGGGGATGGAAGGGGGGTGGCAGGGGGATGGGAGGGGAATGGGAGGGCGATGGGAGGGGGACGGGAGGGGGATGGGAGGGGGATGGGAGGGGGATGGGAGGGGGATGGGAGGGGGAAGGGAGGGGGATGGGAGGGGGATGGCCAGGGGATGGGAGGGGGATGGGAGGGGGATGGGAGGGGGATTGGAGGGGGATGGAAGAGGGGTGGGAGTGGGATGGGAGGGGAATGGGAGGGCGATGGGAGGGGGACGGGAGGGGGATGGGAGGGGGACGGGAGGGGGATTGGAGGGGGATGGGAGGGGGATGGGAGGGGGAAGGGAGTGGGATGGGAGGGGGATGGGAGGGGGATGGCCAGGGGATGGGAGGGGGATGGGAGTGGGATGGGAGGGGGATGGGAGGGGGATGGGAGGGGGATGGGAGGGGGGTGGGAGGGGGATGGGGGGGGATGGGAGGGGGATGGGAGGGGGATGGGAGGGGGATGGGAGGGGGATGGGAGGGGGATGGGAGGGGGATGGGAGGGGGAAGGGAGGGGGATGGGAGGGGGATGGCCAGGGGATGGGAGGGGGATGGGAGGGGGATGGGAGGGGGATGGGAGGGGGAAGGGAGGGGATGGGGATGGGAGGGGGATGGGAGGGGGACGGGGGGGGATGGGAGGGGGATGGGAGGGGGATGGGAGGGGGATGGGAGGGGGATGGGGATGGGAGGGGGATGGGAGGGGGATGGGGGGGGATGGGAGGGCGATGGGAGGGGGACGGGAGGGGGATGGGAGGGGGATGGGAGGGGGATGGGGGGGGGATGGGAGGGGGATGGGAGGGGGATGGGAGGGGGATGGGAGGGGGATGGGAGGGGGAAGGGAGGGGGATGGGAGGGGGATGGCCAGGGGATGGGAGGGGGATGGGAGGGGGATGGGAGGGGGATGGGAGGGGGATGGGAGGGGGATGGGAGGGGGATGGGGATGGGAGGGGGATGGGAGGGGGATGGGGGGGGATGGGAGGGCGATGGGAGGGGGACGGGAGGGGGATGGGAGGGGGATGGGAGGGGGATGGGGGGGGGATGGGAGGGGGATGGGAGGGGGATGGGAGGGGGATGGGAGGGGGATGGGAGGGGGATGGGAGGGGGATGGGAGGGGGAAGGGAGGGGGATGGGAGGGGGATGGCCAGGGGATGGGAGGGGGATGGGAGGGGGCTGCTGCAGCTGAAGTGGTGGCTGGGATACCGCCTCAACAAGAGCACTCCAGGTCTGTATGGGCTAAGGAAATGGCACGATAGTTGACATATGACAGGGGGGCGACAACGGGGAGGAAGTGAACAAGGGTGTGTGCAATGAGCTGTTTGCAAAGAAGTGGTGATATGGGGGGTTGGTGACTTACTGACTTACCCCCCCACACACTCACCTCATCCACAATCACTGAGGGGAGGTCGGCCTCTTCTCAGCCCCTTAGAGAATCCAGCCCAGTGGGGGGAGTTCAACCCCCCCACACACTCACCTCATCCTCAATCACTGAGGGGAGGTCGGCCTCCCCTCAGCCCCTTAGAGAATCCAGCCCAGTGGGGGGAGTTCAACCCCCCCACACACTCACCTCATCCACAATCACTGAGGGGAGGTCGGCCTCCCCTCAGCCCCTTAGAGAATCCCACCCAGTGGGGGGAGTTCAACCCCCCACACACTCACCTCATCCACAATCACAGAGAGGGGGTAGCCTCACCCAAGCCTCTTATCCCATCCAGCCTAGTGGGGGACCCCCCCACACACTCACCTTGGAAACAATCACTGAGGGGAGGTCGGCCTCCCCTTAGCCTCCTCTCAAGTCCAGCCCAGTGGGGGAAGTTCAAACCCCCCACACACTCACCTCATACACAATCACTGAGGGGAGGTCGGCCTCCCCTCAGTCTAATACCCCCTAACTTATCGTTGCTCGGCTCCTCTCTGCTCATTCCCCGTCCCGTACATTGCTTCTCACCGGGTGGTTTAGAGTACGGGCGGCACTGAGCAGATTGTCATTCCCGTCTAGTTAGAAGACGCGCCTTGCTGTCCGCGCCTTGTTTTTCGCCGCCTTGCTGTCCGCGCCTTGCTGTCCGCGCCTTGCTGTCCGCGCCTTGCTGATGGCGCCTGCCCGTCAACGCCTTCCCGTCCGCGTCTTCCCTGTGCGCGCCTTCCGTCCGCGCCGTTGTGGCTCTCGCCTTCCGCCCTATCCCTATGTAGTTGCGCCTTCTATGGGCCGTCTCACACAGGCCGCGTATTCCTGTCCGAGTCTCTCCCTTCCGCAACTTTCGAGTGTGTTCGCTTTTTCTCGTGCAACGGTGTCCCGACCAGCGCAATCGTCACCGTGGTCGAGCTGCAGTTGCTAACGGGCAGGCTTTTCTTCTGACGTTCGGGGCCACATATCCATTCGCCACTCAAATGGTGTGGTTTCTACATATAATTACGTGCAGTGTCGATTATCTTCGGAGAACAAGGACGCGACGTGACTGTTTTGTGACCACAACAACCGTTGAGTGTCGCCGATATTCCCGTGTTGGTGGCCTGAAACGTTCTGTGCTGGAATGGACGTTCGCCACCTGAAAACGCCAAACGTGGGCAATAGCGTTACCCCGCTTATGTTGCCTAAACCTGATGTCGGACGTGACGTTACGTGATCGTCCTTAGAATTCGTCTAGTAGGTACAAACCGAATGCATGTGGTAGGTCATGCACGTCGAGTGCATTGCTGGTTGTTGAGCTGCGTATCAGTAGGCTCCTGCCATGTCCGCGATCATAGAAAGCGGGTGGTGTGACTTGCGTGGATGGTGGTTTGGTTTTGTTTGTCGCTTGTGTTTGTTCAAGTTTCCTGAACTAGGAACCCGTACAATGCGAAAAACTTCGAAGCACCCCACCTTCGCCACCTCTTTCCGGCGAATTGCGCTCTCGTCATCCTTCGCCCAACCCCCTTTCAAGTTCAGTAATCCTGAACCCTTGCCATTCTAGGCGCGGGCTTTAAGGTTCAGAATAAAGTCTTCCCATACTGGAACTAAGGACAACCACACTAGTAGTTAGTTCCACACCTATGTACTGCCTACAGAGCAATTTCCTAGACTAAAACACAGTGCAGTACACATTCTGAACACACCACCACTCATGCACACATAATTAACACATCCAACCAAACATTTACTTCCACTTTATTACATTCCCATTCTATCTCCCAGGTCAGTAGCCGTAGTCAAGTGAAGTGGACGGCCTGGCCTCATTCTCATCCCAGTCCATCTCCTCTGCTGTCGACGGCCGGCCCTCCTCTGCCTCTGCTGAAATTGCCTTCACTGGCACATCCAGCTGAGGGGGCTTCTGCTCAAAAGAGGGGTAGCAATGAGAGAAGTTGCAAGGGAGAGTAGAAAGCGAGAGAAGTAAGCAGGACTGTCCTGAGATCACCCAGCACACCCAACTGCAGGGGCTCCTGATCAAGTGCAAAAGGAACCAATGCGACAGGAGAGCACGAGTTCAACAGCACCGTGTGAGCGAGAGTGAGGATGTGAGTCTGAGTGCGTGAGTGTGCATGCACATAAGGAGGAGAGCACATACTGACCATGTTACGAATGAGCGGCCACTCGATCGACTTGAAGAAGGTGTGAGCTCAGAACTCAACAGCACCGTATGAGAGTGTGAGAGCGTGCATGAGAGTGGGGGGGTGTGTCCGAAAGGACAGACACTGACCATGTTGCGAATGAGCGGCCACTCGATCGACTTGAAGAAGGGGTGGGCTCGGATCTCAACGGCACCGTGCTTCGCCCCCAGGCGGTCCGCTGGGTCCCTCTGCAGCAGCTTGCGCATCAGGTCCTTGGCCTCGTCCGACACCTGAGGGCGGTGGCGTGAACAGAGTGGTGAAGGCAGGGTGAGGGATGTGGAGGTTGAGGGGAGATGGCTGATGAGTTGCTGAGTCCCTCTGCAGCAGCTGGCACATCAGGTCCTTGGCCTCGTCTGACACCTGCCGTTGAGGGAGTGGGTGATATTTGTGTTAGGTTTGTAATGATGAGTCCTTCAACAGACTTGCGTTATTTTTGGCCCCAAACTTGCTTTATTTTGTGGCCCCAAACTTGCTTGATCTGTGGCCCCAAGTCCCTATACAGCAGCTGGCGCATCAGGTTCTTGGCCAACAAAGTCAAGCGTTGAACCCAACCATAAACGTACCCGAGGATTAGCAGGGAACACGAGGTCCTTGGTGAGCACGTTGGTGAAGGTGCGCTGGCGGTTGGCTGTTGAGAAGTAAGGACTGATAGCGGACTATTCTCTCACCGGCGGGTTAGCAGGGAAAGCGAGGTCCTTAGTGAGCACATTGGTGAAGGTGCGCTGGCGGTTGCGCCCGCGGAAGGGACTGCGACCGTACAGCAGCTCATACAGGAAGATTCCTGGAAAGTGGGGAGCAAGAACATGGGAACACGGATGAAGGATTATATGCATATGGATGTGGGTCAATGGTGAGTGTGAGAAACAGCAGAGCCATGCAACGGAAGATTCTGAAAGGAAGAGAGCGAACAGAAGCTGTACTCTTCACGGGGCCTCAAGTTCAACCCAACAAATGCAGGGCTTACATGCGCTGCTGAGCACTCCCACACTCACCAAACGTCCACCAATCAGCAGGGCTGATGTGGCCGGCACCGCTGATGATCTCCGGGGCAATGTACTCCTCCGTGCCCACAAAGCACCCGTCTAGGTGCCGCAACCCCACAAATGAGAGGATGCGCCCCTGAACCCTCGCGCACTCACCGAACGTCCACCAGTCGACGGGGCTGCTGTGCCCGGTACCGCTGATGATCTCCGGGGCAATGTACTCCTCCGTGCCCACAAAGCTGTTGCTCGTCGCCTCTGGCTCGGCCACGAGCACGGGCAGCAGCTCCAGCTCCAGCTCTGCAGGGGACGGGCCCTTGCTGGCTCCTCCGCATCCCACCTGAGCGGCTTTCTTCTTGCGCTTCTCAAAGTCAGGCGGCACGGGGGGGAACTCCAGCTGGGACACCCAGGGAGGCGGATTGAACGGGGTGAAAGGGGGTGAAAATGGAAACAGTCGAGGTCAACGCCGGTCAATCAAGACAACGATGGACGACAAAGTCAACACGGGCAGGCAGGAACAGTACCTTGGGTTAGCACTTGGTGCTGAGGTAGAGATCAATGCCATGAAGTCAACGCTGGTCAACAAAGTCAACGGGCGCAGGCAGGAGCAGTACGTACCTTGGGTTTGCACTCGGTGCTGAAGGAGAGATCGAAGTCAGTGAGCATGGCATGGCCTGACTCCTGTACCAACACGTTCTCGGGCTTCAAGTCACGGTACACCACTCCTGTTGTGCATATAGTGTGTGGAATAGAAGATACAGTTTTAGGGGTTGAAAGACATGGTTATGAGTGAACATCGATAAGCATGGCATGGCCTGACTCCTGCACGGACACGTTCTCAGGCTTCAAATCGCAATACAGTGTTGTGCATAAAGTGTGTGTAGGATGAATGAAGCAGGGATGGGGGTTGAAGGATATGGTTATGTGTAGAGATCAGTCAGCATGGCATGGCCTGACTCCTGCACCAACACGTTCTCAGGCTTCAAATCAAATCGCGATACACCACGACAATGAGTCAATAGGTAAATAGCGGAAAGAAGACGCAGGGTTTCAGGTTCCAGGTATCATTTCGGGTGGCATGCCCGCAGAACTTCTGAGGGAAACAAGCTTACCCCATGCATGTCAGATGGGGCACACTGCATACTACTCACTCACCCACCTTGACTTGGCAGCCCATGCACCCACCCACCCACCCACCGCGGCAGTGCAGGTACTCCAGCGCCAGCAGCACTTCGGCCACAAAGAAGCGGGTGGGAGACTGGGAGCACAGGCTCTCATACATACATGTATCATTCATTCATAGCACACCATGTGTGTACCATGTGTATATCAACCCACCTTGGCAGTGCAGATACTCCAGCGCCAGCAGCACTTCAGCCACAAAGAAGCGTGCCGCAGCCTCGGGCAGGCGCTTGCCCTTCTGCTTCTCGAGAATGCCGTACAGCTCGCCGCCAGCGCAGAACTCTGTGATGAGGCACACGTGTGTGGCCGTCTGGGGAAGCAAGGAGGAAAGGGGTATGGGAGTATGAGGATAAGAGCATCAGGACAGCCCTTGCGCTTTCTCCTCGTTGCCGTACGGCTCACCAACAGCACAGAACTCCGTGATCAGACACACGTGCGAGGCCGTCTGGGGAGCCACCAAGGAGAGGGGAGGGGCGGGGAAGGAGGGGGGAAGGAACGTGTGGAGAAGGAAGGGAATCAGTCTCAGGGAAGGGCTTGACAAAGTTTTGGGAGAAAGGAGTCATGACAGAGAATTGGGGAGTTTAACAAATAGCTCCTTCTACTTCAGGAATCAGGCAGATGACACTTGCAATTGCAACACTAGGCTGTATGAGGTGCAGGCCATACATACCTGGAAGGAGGCGTAGAGTGTCGGCAGGAAGGGGAAGTCGATGCGGCCAAGGATGTCCCTCTCCGTGCAGGCGCGGTGCACCTTGTTGCGGTTCACCATCACCTCCTTGTCCATCGCCTTCATGGCGAACAGCCGGTTCGTGTCCCTCAGCTCCACCAGATGCACGCTGAAACGTGCAAGGGTAGAAAGTGGAGTGCGAGAGGGAGCTATACAGTTTATGTATGCATCCGTACATCAGGTTCTGAGACGACTCAAGACTGCACCCATCATCATCATCACAGGTGCAACTGTCCATCCCATCCCATCTATCCCATCCATCCCACCATATCCATCCATCCATCCATCCATCCATCCATCCATCCATCCATCCATCCATCCATCCATCCATCCATCCATCCATCCATCCATCCATCCATCCATCCATCCATCCATCCATCCATCCATCCATCCATCCATCCATCCATCCATCCATCCATCCATCCATCCATCCATCCATCCATCCATCCATCCATCCATCATCTCTTATCCCTCAGTTCGACCGGATGCATTCATCCTCCATTTTTTTTTAACCGCCCCCTCACCTGCCCGTGTCTCCAGCGCCCAGAGGCTTGATTGGTCGGAAGTGTTTCAGGCTGAGCTTCCCGTCCTTCTTGATCACCTGATGGGCGGCACATCAACACACGTGAACGCACACAAGCAGAGGGCACACAAGGAGAGGCACAGGAACAGGGCAGAGGATTGATTGGTCGGAAGTGCTTCAGGCCAAGTTTCCTGTCCTTCTTTATTACCTTATGGACAGCACAGTAACGCACCTACCCAGGCACAGCCCACGTGACATCCATCCAGACATCCAAGAGCAAGTAAGCAGAAGCAAATATATATATGTATATATAGTTATATTACATTAATAGATATAGACACACATTGATTCAGCTCACCTCCTGAATGGCCTGCCACGCCGGGTCGCCAGTCTTGTGCGGCTTGACGGCCACTGGTGCCGTGTGCACGGCCCACAGGTCCCCGGGGGCCTGGCAGAGAGAGAAGCGAGGGGAGGGTAGGGGAGCGAAAGGAGAGGACAGGCGTGTGAGTGGCTTGCCACTGGATTGCCCACAGGTCCCCAGGAGCCTGAGAGAGAGAAGGAAGGGGAGGACAGGAGAAAGGCACATGAATGACTTGTGTTGACTCGATTGACTGCCACAGGTGTCATGTGAACAGCCCTTGGGTTTTGCAGTATAAGACAAGGGCAGGTGAGGAAAGGGAAAGGGGAGAGTGAGGATGTGTGAGTGAACAAAAGTGAGGGAGAGAGAATAGGGAGGATGGATGGCGGAGGGAGGAGGGAGTGAGGAGGGGGAGGGAAAGGAGAGCGAGAGGAGGGGGATTGAGGGTTGCGGGGGAGGGGGGGGGGGAGGGGAGAGAAGGAGAGGAAGGACCAAAGAGGTGACGAAGGTGAGAGGAGGGAGGGATAGAGGAAAGAGGGAGAAGCGACAAGCGAGGAGGGAGTGAGGGGAGGGAGGGATCACTCACAGCACCAGGGTCGGCAAGCTCTCTGACTGCACCCTCCACATTGTTGGCTGCTTCCAAGACCTGCAGAGGGACAGGCGAGGTATTATACACAGGGGGGACAAGGGGCAGGGGGGAAGAGGCGGCAAGTCAACGACAGGCGAGAGTGCAGGGTATGCAAGTGAGGGGGCCGGCGAGCTCTGACTGCGCCCTCCATGTTGTTGGCTGCTTCCAGCGCCAGTCCACATTGTTTGGCTCCTTCCATTACGGCGAGAGGAAAAAGGAAAAATATCATGCACAAAGGACAATCAGCCTCAGGGAGGAGAGAAGTAGTGGCATGCAGAAGTCAGAAGGCCCTCTTGTTGCACTGACTTCTTATAAGTTCCTCTTGTTAAGCGCCTCACAACTAGGCCATTTGGCCGTATGAGAAATTGCCAAAGCTGAACACTTGGTTACTAGCTTATCAAGAGACACGGGACTTCTAGCACAGTTAGCATAACTGGACAACCAGAGTTCAACAGGTAACACGCGAACACAATAACATGCTGCAACGGGGTAACCCATGGCATGGCACTCACAATCTTCTTCTGAAGCCCGGTTGCGAGATTCTCCTGCAGCACGTGGATTGAAGAGTCCACGAACTAAAAGTGAGAGGCACATATGTGCACGGATACAACACACGTGCCAACATGCATGCATGGTGACAAGCATAACTCACAATCTTCTCTCCCTCGGTCGCCAGCTTCTCCTGAAGCCCGTGGATGGAGGGGTCCACGTACTGGGAGGCGTCCAGCTGCACTCCTATGAAGTACTGCAGCATGCCCTGTTGATGCGAGGAGGGGAAGACAGAGGGGTGAATAGAGGTGAGAAGAGGTGAGATGGGTTGAACGGAGGTGTTTGGATGGGTGGATGGAGGGGTCCATATACTGGGAGGCGTCCAGCTATACTCGATGAAGTACTGCAGCATGCCCTGTTGAGATGAAGAGGAGAAGACAGGTGACAAGGGGTGAAACAAGGTGAAACGGGGTGAACAGTGGTGCCTGCATGCATGGATAAGAAGGGTCCACATGCGTACTGGGAGGCGTCTAGCTGCACTCCGATGACGTACTGCAGCATGAGGCGAAAAGGAGAGGTGAACAGAGGTGCAAAGAGGTAAAATAGGTGAATAGAGGTGAACAGATACCTACTCAGTCGTGCGCAACCACACTTCCCATCAACACTCTGCACCACTACACCCCCTTACACCACCCTACACCACTCTACACTACTTTGCACCACCATGTACCTTGTTGTCGCGCACGGCCTGCAGATGGAAGAGATTCCAAAACTGCTTGCCTGCAGCAGCAATGCAGCGGGCAGGGGGCAAGGATGGATAGACACATGTAGACGAGAGGGGGGGAGTGATGAGACGGGTAGGAAGAGGAGTTATGCAAAGGCAGTGGAGCATCAGACGAGGAGGGATATACACAGATAAATGGGGAGCGAAGGAGGAGGGGCACGAGAATACTGACTTGGTGTAATTCTGGCTTCCCACGACTGCTCCCTATTCCACTCACCTGACTTGGTGTAGTTGAGCAGCTGCACCGTGATATCCTCCTCCTTCTTGATCGCATCGCGAATCCTCTGCACTGTCTTGGGATCCGTGTCAGGCCCTTGCAGGAACCTGCCATGCCACCATCGCACATGCCACCATAGCACATGCCACCATCGTACATACCACCATCCACATACCACCATCCCACATACCACCATCCCACATGCCATCATCCCACATACCACCATCCCACATGCCACCATCCCACATGCCACCATCCCACATGCCACCATCCCACATGCCATCACCGCACATGCCATCACCGCACATGCCATCACCGCACATGCCATCACCACACATGCCATCACCGCACATGCCATCACCGCACATGCCATCCCCGCACATGCCACCACCGCACATGCCATCACCACACACCCCACCACCGCACACGCCACCATCGCACATGCCATGAGAAAACAAGGTCACATAGAAAACCCGGCCTGTCTGACGATCCCAGCAGGATCTTCTCCTGGAAACACTCTGTCGGGTCAAGGAGGAAACTCTCTTCCTCCTCTACCTCTGCCACTAGTACTTCAAGTTCAAATCCAAAAGCTTAAACCATGAAACCCCAAACCCCACACTTTAAACCCTGCCCGTACCTGCAGTTGCGGCCCAGAATCTCCTCTCGAGAGTACTCTGTGAGCTCAAGGAAATCGTCTGACGCAAAGATCTGCTCACACAAGCAGGGGAACAGGCGAGAGGGAGGGGGGAAGGGAAGGGGGAGGGGAGGAGGGGCGGGTGTGGGTGGAAGGGGATAGAAGGAAAGTGTGGGAGGGGGTTGTGAAGGGAGGTGGCAGGACAGGGCAGGACTAGGAGCGGGTGGGATCAATATGGTTGGGCCTGGTCGTGGGGCTGGTCGTTGAGAGATGGTCGCCACAGCACAGCAGACAACACTCACAATGGGGTTCTCAGGCAGGCGCGACCCCGTGATCACAAAGTTCCTCGCCCTCACCCATTGCACCACACGCACCGACAAGCACCGCCCTTAACCCATTCAAACCCATCCATCTTCCAGCAGGCAACTCACGATGGGGTTCTCAGGCAGGCGCGGGTCCGTGATCACAAAGTTCTTCTGGATTTGCTCCAGCGTGGTCGCCAGGTCAAGCCCCCTCCTCGCCTCACCCACTGCACCACGCGCACCATCAGGCACCGCCCTTCACCCATTCAAACCCGATCATCTTCTACCAGGCAACTCACGATGGGGTTCTCAGGCAGGCGTGGGTCCGTGATGACAAAGTTCTTCTGGATTCGCTCCAGCGTGGTCGCCAGGTCAAGCCCCCTCCTCGCCTTGTGCTCGCCTGCGTCCTCCTCCTCCACCGCCTCCATTGCCGGCTCCAAACGCTCCTTCTTGCTGTGCGTGGAAGGAATAGTAAGGGGATGGGGTAAAAGTTGTTGGGCCAGGGATTCCCAGTGCATATGGGCGTGCTAGGGTCGCCCCCCTCCCTCCTCGCCTTGTGCTCCCCTGGGTCCTCCTCCTCCACCGCTTCAACTGCTGGCTCCGAACGCTCCTTCTTGCTGTGCGTGGGAGGGAGGGGGGGAGGGAAAAGGAGGGGAGGAAGGGGAGTTAAAGGGGAGGGGGAGTGGGGTATGAGTGCTGAAAAGCTCCTTCCATTGCTGCCTTGTGGTCGCTCCCGTCCTCCTCCTCCGCTGCCTCCATTGCCGGCCAGCTCGGAGCGCTCCTGCTTGCTGCATGGAAAGAGAGGAGGGGGGGGGGGGGGGGGGGGGGGGGGGGGGGGGGGGGGGGGGGGGGGGGGGGGAAGGGGATGGGGGGAAGGGGATGGGGGGAAGGGGATGGGGGGAAGGGGATGGGGGGAAGGGGATGGGGGGAAGGGGATGGGGGGAAGGGGATGGGGGGAAGGGGATGGGGGGAAGGGGATGGGGGGAAGGGGATGGGGGGAAGGGATGGGGGGAAGGGAGGGGGGAAGGGAGAGAGGAGAGTATGAAGGGCAACCCTCCCCTCCTCGCCTTGTGGTCGCCCCCGTCCTCCTCCTCCGCTGCCTCCATTGCTGGCTCTGAGCGCTCCTGCTTGAACATCAAGCACGGAGAGGGAGGGGGGTAAGAGAGGGGAGGGAGGGGGAGGGGGAGGTAAATGGGAAGAGAAGTGGAATACACAAGTGCTGAACAGCTCCTTTATTCGTATATTCACCCTTAGATGCGACACTGCAGCCGTTACATCTACCGCAAGTGAAGCACAAGTATAAGAATCCCTCTCACGGAGTCAAAGACAGGTGAATACAAAGACAGGCGAGCGGAAAGAGAAGTGCCACTCACGAAGCAGAGACATGAGCCATAAGCACGGATTTGCACATGGGATGGGACAAGCGTGTCATACAAGACAAGACCCCTCACAGGGCCAAGGAAAGGTGCCACTCACGACAGCAGAGACATGAGCCCGGATTTGCGCCTCTCACTGCCCTTCCCGTCCGCCCCCACCGCTGCTCCCCCCAACCCCTCTCCCTCCGCCTTGGGGGGCTGCGTTCCGCCCTCCGCCTCCCCCCCTTCCGCCAGCAGTGGCTTGTTCGCCACCTCCGCCACCAGCTCTGACACTGTGCTCTCCGCCTCCTCCCTCTGACGGGCTGTATTGGGGAGAGAGTGCGTGTGAGAAGAGGGGTGGAAGTGCCAGGGGGTGGGAAGGGGAGTGTGCCAGGGGGGGGAGAAGGGGACGGGAAGTTTGCAGCATAGTATTGGGGGGGGGGGGGGGGGGGGGGGGGGGGGGGGTACTTATGAGAAACAAGCAAACAAACAAGCAAGCAAACTTACCGTCGTATTTAATGAGCGAAACGGGCAGCGCATTGGGGCGGGTCTCTTTGTCCTTAGCGCCCTCCGTGTATTTTGTCACCTCCACTTGCATGCTGGGGATAGAGAAGTGGGGGAAGACGGGGGGAGAGAGAAATGTGAGAGGGGCAGAGATGATGGGAAACATGAGAGGCTATGCATGTTGAAAGGTCTCCATGTATTTTGTATTTTGTCACCTCCACTTGCACGCCGCGGGTGGCGAGGCGGGAAGAGAGGGGTTAAGGAGAAAGGGAGTGTGAGGGGTACGCAGGGGCAGAGGCGATGGGAGTGAAAAAGGCTTTGCACGTTGAATGCTCGTCTTGCCACCTTCCGTGTATCTGGTTATCCCTGAGAGGGGGGGAGGGGTAGAGGGGAGGGGAGAGGTGGGGGAGGGAGAGGCAAAGGGAGAGAGGCAGTTAGGCAGGGGTAGAGAAGGGGAATAAGAGAGTTATGCGCTTGCTGCTTCTAGTGCAATGGGTCGCCTCTCGTTGCATGGGATGCGGGGAGAGAGGAGGGGAAGGGAGGAGTGTTTGGAAAGAGGGAGATAGAGCAGCAGTTAGCACGTTGAATGGTTAACTGCTCAAGTTGACGGATAAAGACTAGCATTTACGAATAAATGTTGGCATGGACGGTCTGCGCGGTAAATGCTGACAGAATGCTGACATTATCGGGAAACGCTGACACTTATGGATAAGTGCCAAAACTTCCAAACGCTTGCCGACATTTTCGTCAATGTCAACAATTGTCCAGAAATGCTGACATTGACGGAAATGTTGACAAATGACAGAAATGCTGACATTGACGGAAATGCTGACATTGACGGAAATGCTGACAATGACGGAAATGTTGACAAATGACAGAAATGCTGACATTGACGGAAATGCTGACATTGACGGAAATGCTGACATTGACGGAAATGCTTACATTGACGGAAACGCTGTCATTGACAGAATGCTGACATTGACGCAAACGCTGATATTGACAAAAAAATGCTGACGTTTACGGATAACAATAATATTTAGAAGCAAATGTTGATTTTTTTGCGCACCAATGTTGACACGTGGGCAATGAATCGACTGAATAGACGACCATTACTATCCCTGACGGCCGACACGGTCGCAACACTGCAAAAGGGCGAATAAATCTTTCTCGGAATCGAGCAACTACGTCAATACTCCTTTCGATAGTCGCAGTCGATTCTACTTGACACAATCACACTAGATACAGTCAGATGATTCTCAGCCGCTCACCCGATAAACTTAACGACCGTCCCGTTGTCGTCCTTGACGGGCGACACGGTGAGAAGGTTCCAGAAGGGCGACCCGTCCTTCTTGTAGTTGAGCAGTCGACCGCACCAGCTCTCCCCCGCCGACACTGCAGCGCGCAGTTTCGCGACCTCTGCCTTGTCCGTATCCGCGCCTTGTAGAAACCGACTGCGCGAGAGAGAGCGCCGCGGGGAGAACGCGGCGCCGGGGGGGGACGGGGTGCGGGGGGGGTGCGGGGGGGGGGGGGGGGGGAGGGGGGTGGGGGGGAAAGGAGAAAGGAGAGCGAAGAGACGGGGAGGGGGGGGGGGGGGGAGAGGATTGAGGAGAGGTATTTCCTGTCGCCACTGCCGCGCGCAGCGCAACTTCGTTATTCCGCCTTGTCCGTCACTACAGGCGGAAGGGAAGGAAAAGAAAAAAAGAAAAAATGGAAGCTGGTGGAAGGGGGGGAGTGAAGTGGACATCAGGAGCCGCCCGCGCCAGCTCTTCCCCCCACCAGCTCTTCCCCGCACCAGCTTTCCCCCGTCGCGATCCTGCGCACAGCTCCGCCACGCCCCCTACCTCTGCCTTCGGAACTCCGTAAACGAGAGACCGTTTGTGACCTTTTTATTCTGGCACCTACATAAGTCGTCAAAACGCTACGTCATGTCCCTTGCACGCACGCTCAGTGCCAGTTTAATATCCCATGGAAATACATACATAAATTAAAGGGGGGAAAAAAAAACCGTGCATGCGAAACGAATTGAAACCAACGCTGACACAGTCGAGCTGACGTGTAGCGATGAGAAATCAACTCAAACCGCCTGCCAATCGAGACCACTGGCGCTCTGGTACACGGTATGAGACGTCTTTTACTAGAATTGTCAACCTTCGCCGATCGGAAACCCCTCGTGATATTCTTCAGCCAAAAAAATAAGAGACTAGCCAGTCCTTGCGCTGCGTAACCCATCCGATAGAACCCCTCACAGGCGAACATAATAGGGTTGTCGCGCTTCATACATTCGTAATCCCCGTAAGACGCACCAGTTCTTGCCGATAGTCTCTTGGGCCGTATACCCTGTCATCTGGTAAAACCCCTCGCTGGCGAACATGATAGGGTTGTCGGGCTTCGTCGCGTCACACATGACAAACGTCTGCTGAAACGCCGTCAGCGCGTCTTTAAGCTCCGATTTCGCGCTCAGAACCTTCGCGACGCCGGCATCTCCACCCCCGCCGTCAGGCTGCACAATGCCTAGAGAATATCGGCGCGCAGTGGGCACGCTACCGCCGCCGGTCACGCCGGTATGCGTGGTTCCGGCGCTTAGGCCGGCTACGTCTACGTCCACCATGGTTTCAGTACAGGCTACTCAATCACGTTCCCTAAACAGGTGACGTCTTAAGTTAAGTGAAGAGTTGGCTCGAGTTACTACTACCTACTAAGGGAGCACCTAGTGACGAGGTCTGTGCAATGTCGCTCAAGAAAATTGAGTACCTAGCCCCGCACTGACGATTTCCACGAAGAAAACGTGCAATTTCGCTTCAATTTTGTTGCCAAAATAGACCCGGGCGCCCTCCCTACTCTCGTGATTGAGGAAGAGAAGAAGACGAGTAATGTCTTCTATTGAAGGGAACAGAAGTGAAAACCCTGAACGCTGAAGACTATGCGAAGAGATAACAGTACTAGTAAGGGCTCAACAGAACTCTGTTGGAGAAACTGAGGAACATTTGAAAGTCGTCGAAACCGCCAAGGGCGTGTTTTATGAGGCCTCGGAATTGGGTGCACCGAGATTCATTGCACCTTTGTTGCACTAAACCTCCGGCCCCAACACACATTTTACAAGAAACTATCATGTGATGGTAAAGCCAGCGCCTAGCAGTCGGTCTCCGCTCGACCACGGGTGATTCTGTTGTGGTTACCAGTCACAAATTTTATTTAGAGAACACTGCCTACTCATAAATGTTAGTAGGGGTTTGGTGTGTCGGGGGTAGGCTGGTGGTGGTGCTGGGACACAGCCAACTCACTGGGCCACTTCAGGGTCGTCAACCACACCGAAGGGCGCGTTGAGCCCGTGAATGACGGGACAGAAAGTCGTTGGGATAGGGCAGTAGTGGTGACAAATGGCGGCAGAAGTTGGTGTGCGTTACACCCAAACTTTAATATAGTCGTACTACCGTTTATTTAACCCACCAGTCATCCAACCTGGGTGTTCAACCTCTTGAAGGCTCTCAGAAGCTAAACCCTAGAACTATAAATTGAATTCTGTTTTTTATTTTAGATTCCATTTTTTAAAAGAGGGGATCTGCTCAAATTCCCAGCATGATAAATAAGGTTTAAGATATAAATTTAAATATATGAATATCCCATAGTATACACAAAAATTTCTTGTAAATGTAATGATGTGTATGAGCGAAATAAGTTTCGGTAAACCAGTAATGTGCAAGATCGTGGCTCCTCGTCAAGAAATTCTTTGGCTCATGATAGTGGCAGGAGGAAAAAACGTCTAATGCCCGGCTGGACGAGAGAAACTATCTTATTCACGATAATTCAACGTCACTCTAACGTGAAAGGAAGGGTTTGTTTCTATATGTGCTAACGTTGAAGCTAAGATAGATACGGCCCTCTGCTATAGCCTAGACCCATCAACTCAAATTATGTGTGTTGATATATTGTACACTTTATAATATTTTTTCGAATGAAAACACAAATCTGGTAACGTAGTACCTCAGTTTTTTAAAAGCAACTCTCTATTTATCTAGTTACTCATTTATAAATGAGTTTTTAAATTGAATATTGTTATCCGTTATATCTGCAGAGCGATGCATTGCCTCCTATTTCATATCTTCATAACCTCACTGACTTCCAGCTAGAACTTGGGTGCATCTAGAGAAAAAAAACATATGGTCAAAACAGACAACCCTAAGGGAGAACGCGGCATTGCCACTTACAAGTTCACTCCCTTACTTGCGATGTGCTGGATAGTTGAGCATCGTAACAGAACGAAGGTGTATTTTGGTGCGAAGGAGCCGCAGGTCCGGAGGGGTGGGCTCGGGGGGAACTTTTCAGGTGCGATTCTGCGGTGGCCTCCGCTGCCTGTGGTGGGTGGTGGTTCGGCTCCTGTGTTTAGGTGGGGGTGGAAAAACTTGTTGGGGAAGCCGAAGTAGGGCGGCTCTTGGGGGAACGGCAGGTTCGGGTTCGGGCAGCGGAACAGGCAACGCGGGCAGACTGTTGGTTGGGGTGGGATGGGACGCGTGTCTCCCCATCATCAAGTGGCGTGGCATGCTAATCGGTCTAGGCGCAGTGTCGTGGCGCGTGACGACGGGCTGAAACAAAATACCGTACGAAAATTGCGCCGCGGTGTTTGCAGCGCGCCTCGAGACTTCCGTCTCTTCCAATGGGACGTGCGTGGAACGATTCCCTGGACGCTCGAGCGTACTGTAGAGCTGTTTGGACATCCAATAGATTCCTGAATGGCAGATGCCTGTAATCTTGGTTATTCAATCGAAATCGCTTGTAGTCGATATGACTGGCTGATCCACGTGCCAGCAAGCTCGGCAAAACAAGAACCATCATTCCGATATTGAGCGAACCAGGTCAAACTTCTTGTATCGTATGTTGCCAACTGATCTATCCAAATGACATCGATTGTCCTATATTACACCATCATTAATGAAAAACTTTTCCTTCACTTCACTACGTATGCTCCATATAGCATCCTTCGCCCACATCTCAACCATCCTTACCACCTAGCAAAGATTGCCCATCCATTACCGTACATTTTCAACATCGTGTCCGAAGCCACACGCCTCGACTATTGAACCACGTCCTAACTTGTCAAATGTTGTAGTCTTAGTGATGTGTGTCATAGGGGGTACAACTCTTAGGGTTAGGTTTATGTACCCCAACCACCATTTTCAATGCAACACTTTCAATTTTGACATGGTACCACCTAGGTTAGGATCCCTTGGGATCCCGTTCCTCTCGATCACATCTGTAGCGCCCGAGCCTGTTCCGTACCCAAGTGAGCGTCTCGCCCGTACTGTCTCACGCCTCTCTCGCTCGTCTCTGCCATGCCCTAGAGCCTACTGCGCCACCTGTCCCGTCCCCTCCCCTCCCCCCCTCGTCTCTCGCGTCCCGTCTGTCGCGCCCCCGCTGCGCCCTACCCGTCCGTCGCGCCCTGTACGCCCTGCCTGTCTGTCGCGCCCCCGCTGCGCCCTACCCGTCCGTCGCGCCCCGTGCACCCTGCCCGTCCGTCGCGCCCCCGCTGCGCCCTGCCCGTCCGTCGCGCCTCGTGCGCCCTGCCCGTTCGTCGCGCCCCCGCTGCGCCCTGCCCGTCCGTCGCGCCTTGTGCGCCCTGCCCGTCTGTCGCGTCCCCGCTGCGCCCTGCCCGTCCGTCGCGCCTCGTGCGCCCTGCCCGTCCGTCGCGCCCCCGCTGCGCCCTGCCCGTCCGTTGCGCATCGTGCGCCCTGCCCGTCCGTCGCCCCCCCGCTGCATCTTGCCCGTCCGTCGCGCCCAGTGCGCCCTGCCCGTCCGTCGCGCCCAGTGCACCCTGCCCGTCCGTCGCGCCACGTGCGCCCTGCCCGTCCTACGCGCTCCCGCTGCGCCCTGCCCTGCCGTCGCGCCCCGTGCGCCCTGCCCGTCCGTCGCGCCCCCGCTGCGCCCTGCCCTGCCGTCGGGCCCCGTGCGCCCTGCCCGTTAGTCGCGCCCCCGCTGCGCCCTACTCTGCCGTCGCGCCCCGTGCGCCCTGCCCGTCCGTTGCGCCCCCGCTGCGCCCTGTCCTTCCGTCGCGCCCCTATTGAGCCCTCTCCGTCCGCCGCGCCCCGTATGCCCTTTCTATCACGTTTAGGGTTTCGGCGATTTCGTTCCCCTACTCTTCGCCTCTGCTATAGCGACCCCTAGGGTCCTGCGCTTTGACGCCGAGGGTAGGCCGCTCGAGTTTTCGGTCTGACTCCTGCGCACGCGTCGACTTGTAGAGAGTCAGGTTCAGGCAGGCGAGTCTCTGTGGGCGCACGCTTCCGATGACCTACCTGCACCCGCAGACCCTGCGCCTTAAGGCACTGCCCTTGACGACGAAGCCAGAGACCGCTATGCTCGCCAGCGTGCTGACCTGACGGCGTGGACATCGCGTGACGCTGCAGCCTGCATCGCCATTAGAATCCTCCTCCCCGAGTCAGAGGAGGCCCACTTCACTCAGGTTCGCACTGCTAGTGGATTCCTGACTGCGATTAAGGCCCGCTATGCTACTCCCACCACTGTCTCCCTTGGTTTCCGAGAGGACTCCTCTGACTTCACCTTTTACCACCCTCCCCTTCACCGGTTCTTTGACTCCCGTGACGTCCGTTTCGACAAGTCAGTCCCCTACTACGTCAGGTACCCCTGTCGAGGTCTTCCGGCTCCTCCCCCCCTCTCTTCCTGACTTCCGCCCCCCCTCTTGCTCCCCCGGTACAGCCTCCCCCCCTGGTCCAGCCCCGTCAGGTGTTTACCACGCTACCCCTTCCCCCTTGGTGGCCCCTCAGGTGCAGTCTCCTTCCCCGCAATCCTCCCCATAGCCTAGTGCAGACCCTGCGGAGGACGGTGTTCGTGGCGAGGACCCTGGGGGTGCTGGCTTGTGCGGAGTTGGAGTTGGTGTTGAGAGCGTTCTTGTGCCGGGTCCTGGTTCTGGGGGTGCTGGAGTTGGAGCTGAGCCCGTGCCTGCAGGAGGCTCTTGTCTTCCGGGAGCTGGTGTTGGTCGAGCTGACCCCGAGGGTACTACGACTGGGGGTGCGGGTGCGCCCTCTGCGGGCCCTGGTGAGTCTAGCCGTGTTGTTGTTGGTGGTGCTGGCTCTAGGGGTGACACGTCTCGTGCTTTGGAGAGCAGTCCTGGGGCTACCGTGGCCCCGGACACTACTCCTTCCCCCCACCCCTACCCGTCTTGGCACCACGCTCGTATTCGCCGTACCCGTGAGGAGCAGCTGGAGTTGGAGAGAGAGGAGAGAGAGTTGGAGAAGCAGATACCGGGGCTCTAGCGGCTAGAGGAGCAGCAGCAGCAGCAGCAGCACCAGCAGGAGGAGCGGTCGCAGCCACAGCAGGAGCAGCAGCAGTCGCCCCCTCCTCCTCCTATCTCTGGTCTTCGGACCCTCGGTCTCCCCTCTCGCTCTCCTTCCTCCTCCCCCTCTCCTCCTGTCTACGGTCCCACGTTTCCTCCTCCTGACTCCTCCCCCGCTGTTTTCCCTCGTTCTCAGCCTCCGTTGTCCCCTCCTCCTTCCCACACTTGGCCCTCTCGTCGTCCTCCTAGTGCTCGTCCCTCGCCCCCTGTCCCTCTCACTGACATTCGTACTGTCCTGTTCCGTCCTAGTCCGCCTCGTTCGTCTCCGTCTGTGCTTCCTTCTCCTCCTGAGTCGGCCCTCACTGCTTCCCTCTCTACTCCTGTCACTGACTACTACCGCACGTACCATCCTGTTCTCTCTCGTGTTCTCGCCTCTCTTATTACCGACCCCCGTGCCTCTCTGTCCTCCATCTCCGCTCTTACTGCCACAGTCACTCAGTTTGCCTCTACTCGCCGCCTTGACTACGCCACCAGTCTTGTGGCTGCTCCTCCTACCAGTCCTCTGGCCGTCGGGGGTGAGTCTGCCCTTGGCTGTGACGCCCTAGAGGACAGGCAGTTTGAGCTAGAGTTCCTGGCCGCCGCTTCCCCTCATCTCTGTGCCATGCTGCTCGCCCCTGAGGGAGACCCCGACGCCCTTGACATACCGACTCCTCGCACTTACGCTGAGGCAGTGTCAGGGCCTTGGGCCTCTTAGTGGAGAGCTGCCATGGACGCAGAGATGGCCTCCTACAGATCCACAGGCACCTACGTCGACGAGGTTCCCCCCCTTGGGGCGAACGTAGTCGATGGCATGTGGATCTACAGGGTGAAGCGGCCACCGGGATCTCCTCCGGTCTTCAAGGCGCGCTACGTGGCTAGAGGTTTCAGTCAGCGCGAGGGAGTCGACTTCTTTCAGACCTTCGCGCCTACCCCGAAGATGACTACTCTTTGAGTGTTACTGCACGTAGCAGTACAGAGAGACTATGAGCTACACTCTCTCGACTTCTCCACTACATTCATTTAGGGTAGCCTACACGAGGAGGTCTGGTTGCGTCGTCCCTCTGCCTTCACTGGCACTTTCCCTCCTGGGACCCAGTGGAGGCTGAGGCGACCGGTCTACGGTCTCCGTCAGGCTCCTCGTGAGTGGCACGACACCTTTCGTTCTACCCTGTCTGACCTTGGTTTCCAACCATCTTCTGCCGACCCGTCGCTGTTCGTTCGTCGTGGCTCCACACCGTTCTTTGTTCTGGTCTACGTCGACGACCTGGTTTTCGCCACTACTGACAAGGTTGCCTTAGCAGACGTGAAGTCCGAACTGCAGTGAGACACACGTGCACTGACCTTGGTGAGCTGCGCCACTACCTTGGCCTGTAGATCAGTAGGAACAGAGGTGCTCGCACCATTACACTCTCACAGTCACACATGGTGCAGCAGGTCCTTCAGCGGTTCGAGCTTCAGCACTCCACAGTACAGCGCACACCTCTTGCTGTTGACCACAGACTCACTGGTCCCTTTCCTGACGAGCCGTTTGAGCCTAGTGGTCCCTACGCAGAGCTGGTGGGCTGCCTCATGTACCTGATGACTTGTACTCGCCCGGACCTCGCCTTTCCTCTGAGCATCCTTGCTCGCTTTTTTGCGCCAGAGACACACCGTCCTGTTCATTGTACGGCAGCTGTGAGGGTGGCGAAGTCTCTAGCGACGACATCAGGCGTGGGGCTGGTTCTTGGAGGGCAGCAGTCTGTCGTACTTACTGGTCACTGTGACTCTTCTTACGCTGACGGTGCCGAGACTCACAGGTCTACTCAGGGGTACTGCTTCAACCTTGGTTCTGGAGCTGTTTCGTGGAGGTCCACGTGTTCCTCCTCGGTCTCGACCTCTACCGCTGAGGCTGAGATCTACGCTGGTGCCATGGCGGCACAGGAGCTGCGTTGGTTGACCTTCTTGCTCGCCGACCTTGGTGAGCGGCCGAGCTCTGCACCGACCTTGTTCACTGACAACAAGGCGTCGATTCTCCTCTGTCGAGAGCCGCGACTGGAGAGCAGAGTGAAGCACATTAATGTCAGGTACTTTCTTCTGCGAGAGTTGCAGAGGCGTGGACAGGCTCGCTTCGAGTTTGTGGAGTCCGAGGCCAACACTGCAGACATCTTCACCAAGGCGCTTCAGCCTTGTGACCACCAGAGGTGTTGTGTGCAGTTAGGCCTTGTTGACACAGGTTCTCGTCGTGTGTAGACTTGAGTTCTCTGCTTGCTTTGCTTGTACACTTTGCTTATAGTTTTTTGTGAACTCTTGGACTGGCCTTGTGGCCTCTTGTGCTTGTGCTCAGAATGTGTGGTGACATTGTGATCCACCCTGAGCTTTGTTTCTTTGTGACTGGTCTTGTGACCGTACACTTTTGGTTTTGCTTGACACCCCTCACTTAGACTATGGGGGTGTGTCAAATGTTGTAGTCTTAGTGATGTGTGTCATAGGGGGTACAACTCTTAGGGTTAGGTTTATGTACCCCAACCAACATTGTCAATGCAACACTTTCGATTTTGACATGACTCTATCGTTTGGACCATTTTGCAAACCTTGGCGCCAGCATCTCGCGTTATAGTGCCTGTTGATATGACTCCACTATAAATGTCCGCTTGTGTCTTCGCTCACATTTTCATTGATTGCCCCATAAAATGGTTTTCTGACAGAGTTTCACATCAACAAAGCACCTATGGGGCTTTTTATGGGTGTTGCGTTTGAGTTGTTTCTGGTGTCTTTCTTTCCCTTTTCCTTCTCCCTCTTTCCCTTTTCCTCTTTCAAAAGCGTGAAGCCAGTTTCTGGGACTTAATATGAAAATGCTTTTGTATACTGAAAAAACAAAGCACCTATGCGTTAAGACCATAAAAGATTGTTTTGTGGTAGCGGTAATCATTTTGGGCAGCTTGAGACCCGTCACAGGGCAGCTTGAAAGAGGGTTGCGACTAGTTTCCGAACGGGCAAAATATCGGGCCGATACAGCACTGTTCCAAATTACCCATGCAGTAGGATCGAATCGTTCTGATTGGCTAACACCAAGATGGCTCCCGCAAAAAAAAAAAACATACGCTTGATGTCATCCGTCGCATGTCTACGTGCTGCACCTGCACGACAGTTGCAAAGCAACGGTTGCAGTCGCCAGGCCCAACTTGAGTTTCAAGCTGGAACGGGGTTCACAACTCTATTTTCGAGTCCCCTAGTAACTAGTTCTTTTTTGCCTAGCTGAGCTCCTGGTCATTTGCATCATAGGCACACAATTGTAATGCGGAGTGTGTTTTTTATCGACTTAGCATCTTGTGATACGTGGCCTGGTAGCGTAATGGTCATGATCGCGCTAACACGCGATAAGGTATCGCGCTCGTCCCGAATCGCCCCGTCGTTATTCTTCTCTTCCTCCCGTTGCCTTTCCCTCTCTCTCGTCCTATCACCCACATAGTCGCCCTCACGCTCGCATTAAAGCGACCTCCCGTCGCCCCTCCTCTCTCCTTTCCCATTACCTGCCTTACCAACCTCGCTATCTCCCTTTGCTACGTTATCTCCCCTCGCTGCCCGCCGTCCTCGCTTGCTAGCGAGGCTAGCTTGCCTCGCTATCTCGTCCGTCCCGTCGCCCTTTCCGACGCCATGACAAACACAAGCGGGATGGACCTCCCATCGTCCTCACAATCTTCCCTCCCGTCCCATCGTTCTCTCGTTCAGCCCTCCCGTCGCCCTCACAATCACCCATCTCGTCCCCTTGCTCTCACGGTTCCCCTCCCATACCATCGCCCTCCCGTTCTCCCATCCCTTCGCCATCGATGTCTCCCCTTCCTCCCCGTTGCTCTCACGATCTCCCTTCCCGTTGCCTCGCCATCGATGTCTCCCCTTCCTCCCCGTCGCTCTCACGATCTCCCTTCCCGTCGCCTCGCCATCGATGTCTCCCCTTCCTCCCCGTCGCTCTCACGATCTCCCTTCCCGTCGCCTCGCCATCGATTTCTCCCCTTGCTCCCCGTCGCTCTCACGATCTACCTTCCCGTCGCCTCGCCATCGATGTCTCCCCTTCCTCCCCATCGCTCTCACGATCTCCCTCCCCGCCCCCTCGCCATCGATGTCTCCCCCTCCTTCCCGTCGCTTTCTTTGCCCTTGCCACCATAAACTTTGTCGATAGCGCACTCTTCCCCTCTCCCCATCGCGCTTTTTCTCTCCGTTCTTGTCACCTTTTTTTCATCTTTTGCCCCCTCATGCTTTTTCTTCTCACTTCCCAGTTAGTTGACCTCTCCCAGGCCCCAAGTCCAAGGCGGCGCTGTTCTCACAGATCTGCTAGCTCTCAAAACGTTCATGTTCTTCCGCTTTGATCTCGAACATAAGTGTGTGCTTGGAATTTTCCCTGTGCTGTTGCTTGATGTGAATTTGGTGAAGTCACAACTCTAGTGAGGCACTGCATGTCGCTCAACCTTGCGCCAAGTTCGCACATGTATGCGAGAGAATTTGGCTACCAATCAGAATTGAGAGAGATCTCTTGTTCGTGTTGGGCTGAGAAAAGCCCTTAGGATCTTTTCAAGGCTAAGACCCTGGGTAGGAATATTGTAACTACGGAACCGTTTAATGACAAAATATTGAACCACCTTGCTCTGGTGTGTGAGGGCAAGATAGATTGGTTATAGCAAGGTGATACGAGCTTCTTATAAGATTAAAGGAATATGAAAGGATGCAACTGACTATTTTACTGTTGCTGTTGCGGTTCGATACAGCGACGACTCGGGCAACTGCTCAATACCGAGTCAGTTGTTTGTCCTTGCTGTCGCGCTGTCTTGTGGCGAGTCAAAGGACGCTGACCTTTGACCTTCGTGTAACCTCCAGCTGTTACGTTTTTGTCAACCTCCTCAGTTGACTCGCTGTTGCTTCGTTGTAACTCGCTTCGTTTACAGTTCGATGTTCCGACACATCAGAAGCGTTAAATTACTTGTTTCCAACACTCCCCTTCGCTTCTGGAGTGTCGCTGCTGGTGGCGTGGCCTTGTCCAGTCAGCAGCATGCAATACTCGAACTTCTGCTTTCCGAGTTTCTTGGTCAAGTAATCTGCTGCCATCTCGGATGTGGGGCAGTAGGATAGCTCGAGTCTCCCCTTTTCGATCTCGCCCTTCACGAAGAAGGCAATGTGCTTCGTTCGGTTCGCGAACCCGTTCTTGTTCGCTATGCGGATCGCTGATTGGTTGTCGCAGAACAGGGAGAAGCTGGGTAACTGAGCCAGCTTTGCTTCTTCCAGCAGTTCGCGAAGGTACAGTCCTTCCTTGGTGGCTGAGCAGAGTGCGATATATTCTGCTTCGGCTGAGGAGAGAGCAATTAGCTCTTGCTTGCTCGACTGCCATGAGATAGGCCCGATAGGTTCGAGTCGGTAGATGTAGCCGGTGCGCGATCGTCTGTTGTCGGAATCGCCGGCGTGGTCGGCATCGACGTAGCCGATTAGCTTGGGTGTTGAGGTTCCGCTTTTATGGTAGGTTAGACCAATCGTCGGGGTGCTGATGAGGTAGTGGAGAGTGCGATCGAGTTCGGCCATGCGATCTGCTTCAGGCTTCTTGAGGTAGGTGGCGAGTTGGCTCGCTGAGTACGATAGGTCCGGTCGGCAGGTAACGGCAGCGAAGAGCAGACATCCCAGCTTTTGTTGGTAGTCGCGTATGCCGGCGGGTTTCAGCAGAGCGGAGGTTTCCTTACGATTTCCGTCGGTGTAGCGATAGGGTGTGGTAATGGAGGTTGGGGTTTATCCGAAGTGTTTGGTGATGGTGTCGGCGTATTTTGCGGTGTTGAGGTAGATGGCGTTCTCTCCGTCTTGTATGTTGAGTCCTAGGTACTGTGTGACGGTGGACGAGACGGTGAGCGTGAGGTCCCGCTGCAGCTCCCCTTCAAACCAAGTTGTGATGTCGTCGGTTAAGCCGATGTAGAGCAGGTCGTCTACGTAGACGATAAGTAGGATGTAGTCGGCGCCTTTCGTGAGTCGGTACATTCCTTGGTCGTATGGTAGTTGGCGGAATCCGATGCGGATTAGCAGAGTGTGTAGGTATTGCTGCCACAACCTCGGAGCTTGCTTGATGCTGTATAAGGATTTTTGCAGTTGGCAGACTTGGTTGGGATCTATGTTGGATCCGTGCGGTTGCTCGACGAAGATCTCAGCATCGACTGGGGCGTAAAGAAAGGCGTTAGCAACGTCGATTTGGCGGAGCTTCTTCCGCTTCATGGCGGCTATCGCGAGGAGGATTCGGAGAGAGGTGTGTCAACTAACCGGTGCGAAAGTTTCGGTGAAGTCACGTCCATGCTCTTGGTCGAAGCCGCGTACGACCCAGCGTGCCTTAAATTTGTTGATCGTTCCGTCGGCTTTCGTCTTCACGCGGAAGACCCATTTTCCCGTGAGAATGGTTTTGTTGCGTGCCACTCCGATGGGTACGACTTTCCAGGTGTTGCGTTCTTCCAGCGCTTTTAATTCTCTGTCCATGGCTTCGCAAAATTTTTGCCTGTGTTCCCCCCCCAGAGCCTGCTGAAACATGGCAGGCTCCTTAGGTGGCACTGCTCCGTGGACGGCGGTGACGAGTCCCAGTATCTGCAGCCCACTCTGAGTGTAGCGAGGGAGAGTTGCATCCTCGGGATAGACTGCTTCGGGTCCCGCTTCTGGATCGGGTAAGAAGTTGGGCCCTATGCATTCTGAAACGTCAGTGTTGACTGACTAGGGTGTTACGTAACCGTTGTCGGCAAAATGGTAGTAGACGTCGGCGTTGACACTTTCGCGAGGATTTTCGTCATCCATTGGTACGTCAACTGAACAGTAGGGAAGAGGTCCGGCTTCCTCCGAGGCTCCTTCCACGTTCTGCTCGTCCCATTCGGCTTCGTTTGCTGCCGAAGCGAAGGCTCGATCTCCTTGAAATCCTCCTGTGGGGTGTCTTTCTGCTGCCAAGTTGTCCAGGTACGTTCGGAGTGTGAGTTGCTCGTAGAAAATCACATCACGTGCTGCTACTGTTTCCTTCGAGTGGACGCAAAAAAATTCCACGCGTTGTAGTGTTTTTTAATGCCCAGGTGTAGTCCCCACTGTGCGCGTTGGGAGAATCGGCCGGCTCGTGCAGTTGGGGGTCGGTACTGTACCATGCAGCCGAACACTCGTAACATTTTTGTGCTGCCCAGTTTCCCTGTCCACAGTAGATGCGGTGATGCGTTGTTCGGGAGCGATGATGACGAGAGCAAGTTGTGCAGCATTACGGCGTGATCCATCGCTTCAGACCATTGGCTGTCAGGAAGCCGCATGCCACGTAGTAGTTTGCGCATGGTGTTCTGGAGGGTCCTGTTCATCCTTTCTGCCACGCCTTGCTGTTGATGGGCGTAGGGAAGCGAGATGAGTCATTTCATGCCTCTCTCTGCCAAGTATTGCTTGAACCGCTGTGACTGATATTCCCCTCCCCCGTCTGACTGGAAGCTTTTCAGCTTCACTCCTGATTCCCGTTCTGCTACTGGAAGCCAGGCGACAAAGGCTTCGAAGGCCATGTCGCGACTCGGAAGGTTGAGGTGCCAGACGTATCTGGTGGCGGCGTCGATGAAGGTGATGACGTAATTGTACGCTCCCTGCCCGCTTTCGCGGGCGTACAGTATGTCGCTGTAGACTTTCTCCAGTGGTGCGTATGCTGGTGCGCTCGGGTTGTGGTGAGAGACGAATGGCTAATGAGGTAAGTCGGCCTCGAGGCAAGTGAAGCATGTTCTACGAACTCGCTGTAATTCTCTGCCGTCGTGTAGGAGCAGTGAGTCCTTGTCAAGTACTCCTGCCCTGATCGTGTTGTTTAACGTTGTGTTGCTCGGGTGTCCCATCCTTGCATGCCAGATTGATTCGTTGGCGCGGTATCCTAGTGAACGCCTGTACAGGTCGGAATTGGAGTAGAAGCCTGCGGTGAGGTTGGCGCTTCTGTGAACTTCTCGTGGGGTGGGAGCTAGCTGCTTTGCGGGAGTTGGTGGCGTGTCGTCGATGGGGACTGGTGCTGTTGAAGGACCAGCGATTGGTGTCGTAGCCGGTGTTGCCTCTGCTACTGCCGATGTTGTGTCTGCTGCTGCTGGTGTTGTCTCTGCTGCTGCCGATGTTGTCTCTGCTGCTGCTGATGTTGTCTCTGCTGCTGCCGATGTCGTGTCTGCTGTTGTCGATGTTGTCTCTGCTGCTGCTTGTCGAATTGTCGCTAACGCTCTTGTTCGTTCTGCCTCAGGTATAGTATGTGAGTACCAGAATCCTCCTGGGCTGAAGTCGAGGTCGAGATCTGGCGGGTGTGTCCAAGAGGTGAAGTTGACGATGGCGTCGCTGTCGGCGGTGCCTTGGTCTGGAACGAAATCCAGAACGAAGACATTATTCTTCAGGATTGCTTTCCCGGTGTAGAGTCCACCCTTCCCGTGGTACAGCTTAAACTCCTGGGTGGTGCTATCTGCATCAAGATGGATTCCTTTCGCCATGAGTTGACTGACGCTGAGTAAGTTGTAGCCGAGTCCTTCTGCGATTAAAACCTTCGACATTTGCAGAATAACGTGGTTTCTCGAGACTGAAGTTGAACTATCCCTTGTCGTCGTGTGCGCAGGTTCTGGTTGTTGGCGACGGTGATTACGACCTCGCGTTGAAGCTGGTGTTCTCGTTGAACGAAGCGACCTGAAGAGCACACGTGTTGTCCGCAGCAGCTGTCCAAGAACCATGTGTCTTTCCCGGATGGCTCGCTTTGGGCGATGGCTGCGTACGTCGGGTTCGGCTCCAGTGAATCGCGACGAGGAGTGCTTACATCGAGTAGTTCTTCCCGTGAGTAGTGCGGCGGTGACTCGGTGATGCAGGAGTCTGTTATTCTTGTCATGCAGCTCACAATGTTTCTTGTGCCTTGTGCAGGTTGTGTCGTCGATGTCGTTGAAGATTGCACTTGATTGGTGGGGTGCGCCTGTGTGGAAGCCACCTGACTGCTCGAAGGTCGAAGTTGACGTTGCGGCGGCGTTGACTGCTGTTGATTTGGGCAGTGGGTACGAGGATGTCCTGACGTTTTGCAGAGGTGGCAGAACGGTGGTACGTGCCGTTGTGGTTGATACTTGTTCTGCCAGTTGTTGCTGTTGTTGTAGCGCCGTTGAGTGTGGAACGCGAACTCGGGTGTTGACGTTCTCCTC